CTTTCCATTTTCATGTGATAAGAGATCCTCTTCAGAAGCCTATTTTATCTGAAACCATCAATCCTGGGAATAAAAACAAATTACTACACATCTTAACACTTCAGTAATCTGTTTTTTTCAAAGCCTAATTTATTATATTCAAATCATATCCAAAGAAAAGGTGTTAAAATGCTCAGCAGAAAAGGTAGAAGTCCATTGGTTCATGCAATGCAACTTTTTTCATATTTGTCTTATATCATAATTAAACACATTACATTGTCATGTTCCAAAGCCACAGTCAAAAAGTTAAATGCAAAAAAATTATATATTACTAGAAATACTGGACTTAGAAATCAAGGAGTTTCACAGCTAAGGCATTCGATTTGTCATTTTCTTACCTTATAAAGTCTAAATATGAAGGCCTAGAACAGTGTATGACAGGCTTCTACTGTGATACTTATGGGAAACTCCCAGCTGATAATAACTAGGTATATGTCCAGTTGGGACCATTGATACCAATTCTAATTAGCTGCATGTTTATATCTTCTAGTTGTACAAACAACTAGTGTATGTACCAAACAGCCTGATTTTGTTACACTATCATATTTTTATTCCACTCTGACATAATCAAGAGGCCTTAAAATGAGTGGGAAAAGCTCCCTATGCGGACATGGGGGGAAGGGGGGAGAGGGAGGGCACCTGGCTGGTGTGGAACTGGTGTAAGGACTCTGCAGGGATCAAACTCCCAGAACTAAACACAGTGGGTATATCAGGAACATGTTGGGGGCGTGGCTGCACTGTATTGTGGCAGCTATTTGCTTGAGGGCCCACAAATGGACTTGGGAAGCAAAATATAAATTAAAGTTACCTAGAGACCATCTTAAATTAGGGCTGATCTATGTCAACACAGTTTTTGTACCACTATATTGATTTAGAAACCAATATAGCTAAAGCACTACAACTCCCTAGAGTGGACACAGTTATACCACATAAAGGTATACCTTATTCAAATAAGTTATATATAATATAATATAAGCACCTTTGTATGGTATTCAATCAGCTATACCAGTATAAGAACCTTTATATTGTATTCAATAATCTATACCACTTTAATGCACTAAACTGTACCAATATAAGCATCTTTAAAGGTATAACTGTGTCCATACTAGGGAGCTGTACCATTTTAACTATATCCATTTTTAAACCACTAGTTATGGTGGTACAAAAACTGTTTAGACCAGCCCTTAAGCTCTCAGTGCAGGGACTATCCCTTTATGTGGATTTATACAGTGCCTTGCACAATAGGACCCTGGTCATGAGTGGGGCCTTTGGGAAATATAGCACTATAAATTAATTAAATTAATTAATATTAAAAAATAATGACATTATGTATCATGTTTTTTTCCCCATTCACTAATACCACAGTATTTGCATAACTTTCAGGCCTCAATATCCATTCATCTGCACCTGGTTTTCATCAGACATTAGTCTTCTCTAAAGGTCCTTCCTTCAAGCCCTTATGTTTTCTTCATACATCCTCAGACCTCCCTTCTCAATAAAATATTTTGAGCCAAATCCTTCCTTGTACCATGTAGGTGTGCTAGAAGGAGAAATGGACATAGGAAGCCTCTGTGCTCCATGAAAACAGTAGAACAATATCTACTTAGCGCTCAGAAAAGCACAAGGTGGGGCTCACTTACGTATCGGCTAGTCCTCATAAACTTCATGGGGGCAGGAACTGCCGGCTAGGTTACATGGGAAATGTGCAGCTGACTAAAGTGTATGTTGCATTTGGTGTGCAATGTTCATTTACAAAACAGAAGTAAAGTGCAACAGGTGTGAGACTCACTCTATGCCAGCATCAGAGCTGTCAAATAATACTTAACAAAAAAAACTTATTCAAGGGATATTATTTTATGAACGTTTTATTCTGTTATTTGACCAGCATACAGAAGTGGCTGAATAACTTGTGAACATATGTAATTAATCAAGTATTCAATGACTTGTGATCTTGTCAATTAAATATACAGTGAATAATATCTTTCTATTGGCCACACATCTAACCAGCGGAATGGCCAGTGTGAATCTGTCACTGTTATGTTCTCTTCTCTCTGTTTGCCACCACCAGTTAAGAGCAGGATTTTGTCTTCTTTATTAGTATACAGTTGCACTGGAAAATGTAATAATTCAACATATCAAGGATGAAATCTTGGCCCCACTGAAGTCAACTGAAGTTTTCCAATTGACTTTAATGGAGTCAGCATTTCACTGCAAATACCTATTTCACAGATTACTATTTGCATTCTCTTGTATTTTCAATTTCTAAAGACAATTATCCCTGCTATTGTTGCATGTAGTAGAGAAATTAAAACTATTTACTCTGTCTTGATACCATCTTAACAGATGGTAAAAATACAACAGTCTAGGCCTCTGTCTGCAATCAGAACTACACAGTTTAAATTTTTAATCCACCAAGAGTCCTAATGCAAGATCAGTCTTTATTACATACAGTATGTAATTTCTTTTGCCACTGTCATATAATTTCCAATATTTTTCATATTCGAAACCATGTTATACTTCTAACACGTGAACAAGGGAAAGCCTATTTAATTTTCAGGTTGAAGTGCCTTATTTGGCATTTCAAACTTCAATAACTTCCTGAATAAAACACTTGGCCCTATTTCATCTTTTATTAAACAAAATTATTTCTTTTCACTTTTTAGATTATATCTGTGTGCCTAATAGTATCTTTCTCATAGTCTCAGAGAGTCCAGCTAATACGGCATTAAAGCTCTTTCCCTTTAAAGCATTCCCTTTTTCCTAGTAATTTTCATTCCCTTTTTAAATAATTGAGACATTTCAATTTTAGAAATAAATTATGTCATAGCCTAAGTAGACTAAACTGATTCTTTTCCACATTTTCCACCATGGCTCTCTGCTAAAACCAGTATGCATTTTGAAAATGACCTTGAAAATTCAAAACACAAGAGTATTCAGGTTTTTAGTCTATAGATCCCTCAAAATAAACATGATGGGACTTTAATCTGGTCCTATAACATTGTGCTACTCTGACATCCTTCCCCATGGACTGTGCCTCAAGATGATGGAAATGCCCATAATCCTGAGAACTATGCTGGTAGGAATATAACCGGTAGGGCCACCCATGCCAGATAGGCTGAAGGGTAGGAGCCAGACCAAAGGCAGTCTACCTGCCCTCCTGCTAGGAGGTTGAAAGAGGGCTAACAACCTGTTCCTGCAAAAAACAAAGCCATTACAGAAATATACAATACTTCTCGGCTCAATATTGGAAAGCTGTGATGAAGGCCCTATGTTCCCCATGGAATAAAGAGGCATAAATCAAGCCAGTCTTATGGACTATACAGTACTTGAAATTAGACTTCGACATATGTTGGAAAATATAATATCTAGCAGTATGCAGTTATGGACAACATTCTGATTTTCACTTTAAATTTTGATCTACATTGCATCTATCTTAAGAAATTGACCTTGTGTAGTATGTAGGATATCTTTACTCAGTTTATTCATGCCAATACATTAAATGCAAATACTAATCACACAAGGTCAAATTCTGCATTCCTTAATAAAATAAACTTCCCCTAAACTCTTTTAATATTTGGTCAAGTAAGGACTACAGAATTTAGCTCATAAACACCAGGCCCAATCTGAAAACCCTTACTCTTGCAAGTAACCATTTATTCATGTGAGTAAAACCTCACTGACTTCCGTCGGATTACCTCTTCTTTTTTTAGGGCAGGAAAAACAAGGGAAGACATCCTGGCCCCACTTGAAGTCAATGGTAAAGCTTCAGTGGAGCCAGGATTTCCCCTAAAAGTGTAAAACTAGGATTATAAAAGAAAACTTTATAGTTATTGTGTCCAAAGAGAATACAGTGTAACTTTATTCTGTACAGCATCTTTCACATAAATTGCATCCGAAAACATAAGAAACTTTAGTACACTTCAAATGCATCAAGTGAACTTCAGAGTGTAGGATGTCACATAGGACCCACTGGCAACATTAAAACTTGAACCATCAGTAGCAAGATATATTTTACTTGCAAGAGTTTTTAAAAGACAAATAAGCAAATTTTTGGAGAAAAAAATATACATTTCACAGAGATAGAGGCCTGCTCATTACTTATTCAGAGACTGTTCTCATTTGCTGAATAAAAACATACAGTAAGTAATCACAACTTGATCAACTAAGAAAAATGAAACTGACACATGCAAGTAGACCCATTCTTTCAAAGCATTCACGGCTATCAAGCTGTGGCTACCCGAATTGAGTCAGATTGTATTTAAATTATGAGTCTCACAGAAATGTACATCTCAAAATCTTTCATCACAAGAGGGCTAGACATTGTTAAAACAACATTTTAATTTAACCTAAAATAAAGGGGTCTCCCCCTCCAAGTGAGTGAGACTAGGCAGGGCGGATTTTACTCTCAGGCTTTTTTAACATGAAGAATCGAAACAATGTATTAATAATCTCACTCTCAAACTACTAGTGAATGGGACTAATTGCAAAGGTTGTTAACAATATGAAGAAACAAAGTATTTTGCCTCGTTTCAAATACTAGAACCTAAATTAACCTGCAACTTCTTTTTAACTGGATACGAAAGTTGCGTGCGCTTTTTATAAGCACAAAGAAACCCACACGCCCTTAATTCGTTAAAACCCAGAATATGAGCTGTAGTTAAACCAGGCTCTAAATCTATAACTTTAACATCTATGTTGCACAGGTTCTGAAATTAAACGTAGAAAGAGGCTCGACTCGTTTCCTGTTTTATTGCAACACACGATTTGATTCCACCTCTATGGATTGCAATCTGGTTGCAGAAAAGGTGGCAAAAGAAGAAACTTTCAACTGATTGCGAGGACAATCACGATTTATAAAATACTCCATTAAATACGATTAAAGCAACAAAAAAAAAAAAAAAACCAGGGGTCCCTAAACCGGTGCACTACACCCTTATAAAAACAGCAGAGTCTCTTCTCACCTTCCATGCTGCTGTTCCACGTGTGCTCCCTACTCCACGTGCTGGTCCAGGGCTCTAGGATTCTCAACTGCAGCAGGCGGGAGATTCCCAGCGACTGGGCTTCCGCTCTGGATAGGAGACTGTGACATCAGGCATTTAAAGGGACAGGAACTCATTGTCTGTGTGATTAGAGCGGCGCCGGGTGGTGGTTTGAAAACCTCGTGCAAAACTGCTGCGAGAACACACAGCCCCTGTAATCCCTTTAATGAGTCTGGGTGCAAAATTTCAACCTCTGGCAGGAGAAATGGGTACATTTCAGAATTAGCTGTTATTATTGTTAATTAACTAATTTAAAAATTCATTAATTTCATAAAAAGAAAAGGAGGACTTGTGGCACCTTAGAGACTAACCAATTTATTTGAGCATGAGCTTTCGTGAGCTACAGCTCACTGCATCCGATGAAGTGAGCTGTAGCTCACGAAAGCTCATGCTCAAATAAATTGGTTAGTCTCTAAGGTACCACAAGTCCTCCTTTTCTTTTTGCGAATACAGACTAACACCGCTGTTACTCTGAAACCTGTCATTAATTTCATGTGATTGAAATATGTTTAATTTCAGGCACAAAAAATGCCACCTCGATAGCTAAAATGTGTTACCGGCAAGTTATCTAGAGTGGGAGGAAATTGGTGTGATTTTGAGAGTTAAACTTTTAAGACCATGCATGTTGATAGGCGGAGGCAGTTGGACTAGTGCTAAAATAAACATTTAAAATGTCATTAGGATTTTTTACAAGGCTTCTTCATAGTCCTGTAACCTGAGATTTATAAACATCATAACGTTTTACTTTTCTCCAGCACCCTTTATCCCAAAGTGCTTTGCAAACAACCTACAATGCAGAGGCATTGTAATGCAGATATCTGAGGGATATAGGGTCCTGCCTCACCAATCTGTGTGCAGGATGCTTAATAATAGTGCAAAGGAAGGGGGGATTTTTGGTAGGGATAGAAGGGCAAACTCCTATTCTCACACAAAGCACCAGTGACTCAAAAAGTGCCATGGCAAACCCTACTCTTAGAAAAAGGGTCACAACAAATGTCATGGATCTTTATCTCCATGTCTGCAGAGATGACTTTATGACCTTCCAAGTAAAGAATCAAAGGCAGAGTCCCCAGAAACATGCAGATACTACTTGGAGAGAGGAGCAAGTTGTACAAGACAGAATAACAACGCTTGCCATTCATGGAGCTACAGCAGTGGCAGAGTTGGGAACAGAAGCCAGGTATCCTGATTACCAAATCCATGTCCTATTCCCTGGATTACATTGTCTCCCCAGAAGCTTCAGAAGGAGTCCCAAAAGCATGGGATCCATCCTGGAGGTGTCACTGGTGAAACTGGGAATGAGGTCTTTTGTGACTGCCCCTCTCCATGACCCCATTAACAGAAAGGGAAACTGGGCTCTGAGTTGCTGAGGATGTTATAACATCCCTAAAATGTGGTGTCCTAAGTCATCACATCTTGACACGTACATATCTTAGTTCCCAGTGACTTGTTCCACAGAAGTTTCTTCACATGCACAACATTATGATTAAAAAACCATGGTTCTTTTAAAGGAATGGCCAAAGTGCATTCAAGGAATTCCACATCTCCCATGTCTGCCCTCATCTTTAATACAAACAGGACGTCAGCAGATACTAGTTTCCAGCATGGATGACATATCTTGGTCCAGTTGAACTACTGTTGTCTGTAAGATATATGCCTCCATATTAAACATAAAAGACAGATGCAATGTGTTCCATTCAAGCAATTTGCCATTGTAGCCCACATTTGTGAAAATAGTTTACCACTCCTTCCATAAAGCAGGTGATCTAATGGGCCCATAATCCATTAAAACATTTATCCAGTTAAAAATTGTGTTTATCATTTATACAGTGGTTTTCATTTGTGAAGTCCTTTACAAGTATTAATTCCCACAATACCCCTTAAAAGCCAAGCTACTTTGTTTCGGTCATCTATTAGTTACTCCAAAGACAGTAACTACTGTATTGCTAAGAATTTGACAGGAGTAACTCAACTACCTTGCCTTGATGGGTTTGTGACTCATTTCTTACAATTTGGCAAGGGTAGTTTAGGACTTTGTTTGAATGAGTGTTGCCAATAGCATGCCAGCATGCCCACACTCAACATAAAAAAATATTTTTCTTTCTTTATATTTAATTTCCTTTATGTGTAACATGGACTGGTACTGTTTTTCCATCATGTAAACATAGTGACATGGTCTTCAGAGACATGCATCAACACTGTTTTCTCTGTGTTATTCACCCTCACAGGCTTGCATATATATTAACACGCTATTGCTGAGACTACACTTGGCATCTCTTTAGGTTTAATAAAGGAAAGTCAGTGATTGTTAGCTTTTAAAAAAAAACAAAAATAACTCAGTTGTTTAAAAAATGACAAATTACAAAGATGCCTAGTAAACACCAGTAATGATTAACTCCATTCAAAAACCTTTACTGCTAACGATGAATCATCTTTGTTCCTACAACTCAACAAAAAATAGCATGAAACTGGCTCTAATAAACACTTGGGAACCAAATCAGTTGAAGTTTTGAATGTGCAAGAATTCACATGTTAACTAAAAATAGTTTTGTAATTTTTTTATCAGAGTTCAGAATTATTTACCAAGAAATGGCCCTATGAAATTTTAAATGGCCTACATATTACAATCTCCACATCAGCAACCAGCATCATCACAAGAACAATCAGCTCATGACATGATTCGACATCATCTTATATTTGTACCTGCAACTTCAAGCTCTGATGAGACAAAAATAGTGTAGAGTGAAAGTAAGGTGGGAAAATGAATACTTTAGATTGAGGCTTCTATTCTTATTATCAATATGGAATACTTAATTTTTAAAAAAATATATTTTACTTAATTCGGCCTTTGTGTTTTTAAGACTTGCAGCTTGTTTATGATCTATATATTTGGCAGTTGAGAAATTAAATAAAAGCATTGGAGTAATAACTGGACTGAGAATTAATTTATGTTGTTACTTGACATTTTATGGGAATGATTACATCTCTAAGGTTATGGAGGCCCAGTTATGCAACCCATACTTCTGCAAGTAGTCCTTTTGAAGTCAGTGAGAGTACTCATGTAATGATTGCAAAACTGAGAGACTAAGGTATTGGTGAATGAAATGGTGATCTGAACAGATCTTTCAAAAGACATAAACTGAACATGGCTCTGCTGTGTGATAACAATACAGCACAGGGATATGATTCTCAGAGTTATTTTTTTGTACTCTGAAGACTGCATTCTGACTGAATGTCCATCCAGTTTCTATAACCCAAAAAGGGAGAAGAGCTAGACACTCCATGAAAGTCCATGAGCACCTCACTGTTCCCAGTCTGTTCGGTGTCAAAGGTCCTGAGATACTACAGTATTGGATGACAGTATAAAACCCTGAAAAAGATAGAAAATATCAATAATATAGAAATAACCATGTTTGTAAGGATTATTAAAACTCTGAATGTTGACAACAGATGGAAGTACAAGAGATTTTATCAAATAAAATACTATTATTATTCCTTTTGACCTGAGCAGTTAGCTAGTATTTCAGGGTCTTGGGGTAACTATTGTTATGTTTAGTTTACCTGTATTAAATTCAAAATTAGACTCATTGTGCCCTGGAAACACCCATTGCAACAGAAAAGTCAAAGCTGTAGGAGCTAGTAGAAGTTACAGGATGGTTTCAGTGGAAGCAGGGAAGGATTGGGTTGTCTCTTTAGGGGACTGAAAAGGGACTGCCATTAAAAAAAGTACTTTCATCACCTGAACTCTTTTTTCCATATACACATTTTGCTGTCTGAATGAAATTGTAAACTCTTTGGCGCAGGGACTTTGGCCTAGTTTGTATTTTGTAAGTCTCTGTGTACTTTTACAAGTATTAATTTTTATCATTATTATTGAAAACACCCAAGATGAGAAACATAATCTGAACGCTAGTGTACTGACTCTAAAATACAACTTAATTCTTACTATAGAAAGTAAAATACACCAAGAGACAGATGCACAAATAAGTTTATTGTATATTGTATATTAATGCTCTATATTAAGGAATTTTTGTTTAGTAGATGAATGTAGCTTTGTTTAATTTTCAGAAGACCTTTCTATGTATTTGTACAGCACCTAACATACTGGGGCCAGTGGGCGCTATCATAAGAATAATATGTAAATAAATAGTGTTTAAGGAAATAAACCAAACTATATCTCTTATTTTTTGGTTGACAAAGAATCTTTTTTAAGAAGAAAATGCTGTTCACAGATCTATTAAGAAGATGACCTAGCTGCTTCTAACTCAGAAATATCATACTGACTTTGAAAGGAATGAGTCATTTGGCTAGAGACATAGATCATAAGTCTCAATCTACAGAGATCCAAAACTGCAGACAAAGCTTTATAATGGAGAGATTCTTATTTTACAATAATTAACAAGTGGGATAATGAAAGTTTGTGTGGGACAGTCAAATTAAATTTGGGCATAAACATCCTCTGGAACAGACTGAGATATGACTCGTATATAACGGACACAGATTAAAACTGAATCACTTAGCCGATATCGCATAAGTGTGAAAAGTTAACTTTGAGTAAAACCGAAAATCTTTGACACAGAGGCGCGCTAGACCTTTTTGAGATGGTCCTAATTTTAAATTAACTACTCGTAGAAACTAAAACTGAACCCCTTGACATATTCCTTACACCTGAGCCAGCTACTCTACACATAACTGTTAAGTCTTCTTGAACTTGTGTCAACTGAAATAACTAAAGCAGCACCAATGTTTAGGCAAGAAACTTTAAATAACATGAAAATTGGAGGATAAATAGTTTAAAAACACTAATGTTTTAGTCCATAATTATGTTTTCTATCTCAACATTTTCCTTTCATAATTCAATATTATCCCCTTGGGAGGTTTCTTTCTTTCTTTCTTTCTTTCTTTCTTTCTTTCTTTCTTTCTTTCTTAATACTATTAGCTAAAGTCTTTGGCGTGTTTTCCGAACACGGTTATATGACTGTTTCTAACAATGTCAAATATGAATACTGTGTCCTGGCACATTTTCTGAACATGGTTATTTTAATACCGTTTTTAGAAATGCAGTATTACCAGCCCCACATGTTCAAAAAAGTTGAGCCAGGCCCCCAACATCATGAGATGGGCTTAAAAATTATGATATTTTTAAAAACAATAAATCTTTCTGTTTGCAATAAATTCTTTGTTTGCATTTTGGATTTTGATACAAGATCACATTTTCAAGCTTTTTGCCACAATCAGTGCTAAAAATTTACTTACAATTAAAAAAAAGTTGAGATTCTCAACTCATCACATGCCTCCAGATGCTGGGGCTTTAAGAAAAACACTACACATTGCAAGGCTCACAATTAAATTGTGAAAGCTGACACAGCAGAATGCGGACACAAACCACAGTGCACTGTGTCTAGCAATGGTTTCTAACCATGGCTTAGTGCAGTGCTGTTTCTAGCTGTGGAAAGCAGGGGCAGACATCACCATGTCCCAGTTCTCCCAGGGTCCCTGGAGGTTTTTCTAATATTGTTGCTAGTTGTGTGAGCCAGGATATAGAACACTGTGTTACCGTATTTGGAAATAGGGTGACCAGACAGCAAATGTGAAAAATCAGGACAGGGGTGGGGGGTAATAGGAGCCTATATAAGAAAAAGACCCCAAAATCAGGACTGTCCCAATAAAATCGGGACATCTGGTCACCCTATTTGGAAATAATTTCTGGGCATAGTTATAACAAAGTTTCTACTGATGTGTGGCACATGGTGTTGAGGATAGATGGCATAGTGATGCTCTGGGTGGTTCTGTCCCAAGGAAGGAGAATTATGCTATAATGATCAGCTTTTGCACTTTGCAACTTGGTTTACTGTGCTGGGGTGTAGAGGGTGGAAAGGGAGACACCCCCGCCCCCAGTAGTGCTACCGGCAAGTAACAAGGAGGGATGCTGTCCTATCCAGCCAGATTTCCCGCAAAGAGATCTCCTCAATCAGCCCCACCTGCCCTTTCAAGTGGGCAGCTGACTGAGGTAGCTCCTCCCCCCATGACAGAGGGACTCCCCTTAAAGGAGGAAAGAGGCGCCTCTCTGGAGCAGAAAGGTAGCAAATGGGAGCAGAAAGGTGGCGGGAAGACCTGGTAGGCTTCGCATGCAAAAAGGCGGGAACCGCATTTGGACCCCGCACGCTGCGGCGGCAACAGGCGTAAAAAAGGCGGGAAGGGCATTTGCCCTCGCGCTGCAACGCCGACAGGCGGGGAAAAGGCGGGTGGGGCGGTTAGGCTCGTGCTGTGGACGCGACAGAGGAAAAAAGGCGGGAAGGGCATTTGGTCGCGCTGCGGACGCGATTGGTGAGGAAAAAAGCGGGAAGGGCCTTCGGCCTCGCGCTGCGGCCCCGACAGGGGGAAAAAGGCGGGAAGGACAGTTGGTCTCGCGCTGCGGAAGGAGCAGGCGGAAAAAAGGCGGGAAGGGTATTTGGTCTCGTGCTGCGGACGCGATTGGGGAGAAAAAGGCGGGAAGGGCGTTCGGCCTCGCGCTGCGGCCCAGACAGGGGAAAAAGGCGGGAAGGACAATTGGCCTCGCGCTGCAGAGGCGACAAAGGCGGAAACAAACGGGAAGGGCATTTGGCCTCGCGCTGCAGGGGCGGCCTCGCGCTGCGGACGCCGCAGGCGGAAAAAAGGCGGGCAAGGCGGTTAGGCTCGCGCTGAAGCCGCGACAGGCGGGAAAAAGGCGGGCCGCGCAAAGCTGTTGGTCACGCGCCGCGGCGGTTAGAATGCTGCGGGCGGGGGAGGGGCTGCGAGGGGAGCTTGAGCCCCGCCCTCTCCCCTTGGCAGGGAGCGAGGACCGCGTGGGAGGGGGCTGCGCTTGACCATGCAGGGGGGCGGCTGCGGGCTGAGCCCTCCCCTCTACAGCGCCTCCCTCCTGTCCCTGGGGGTTTTGTTGAGCGCCTTGTTTGCTTTGACCCAAGGTAACCGGGGGAGCAGGTTGTCCTCACTCTCTGTGGGGGCTTCCCGGGTCTCCAGCTCTTTACCCTGTGACTGTGGATGGCAGAGGCACACCCTGTTCTCCCTGTGGCCCTCACTCTGAGATCAGAGATTGTAAGGGGCCATTGTAGTCTCCCAGAGCGCCTTTTTCCCTGAGCTCAGAAATCATCAAGGCTTCATGTTCGGTGTGGGTCACTGCCAATACCCCTTTACCTCTTGGCCTCGCTCTTTGGGAAGCCAGACATCAGAAGAGGCCATCCCAGTGTCCTGGAGGCCTTCAGTGAAACCCTGGATCAGGAGTCATTGAGGGCCCCCAAAATATCGGGACAGCGGTCTTCACACCCATTAGGGGCTCTCTTGAGAGAGAAGCCCTTTCACATGTACTGGGCCCCAGTGCTCATCATATAGCTCATCATATAGCTTATTCATCCCTTTAAACTGCTCAGTGGATATGGAAACAGGAGCACTGAAACATGGGCCCCACACCCTCCACAAGATCACAAATGCTGTGGCTTCCCTGAACCCCACTTGTGTCAGAGAAATCAGAGCCTCCTGCAACCTCAGCAGATGCGTCTCTAACGCAATCCCAGCTGTGGTGGGCTGCCCTTCTGAAATAGGTGTTACATAATCATAGTTATGAATTCTTTTGTCCCAAAGTCAGATGGGGTGTCGGGGAGTTGGGGGCCCCTGCAAATTATAAATAAATGGTATTCCTTTCAAAGACTGTTAATGGAAATCTCCAACCTGTTCACTGAAATCTGTAACTATTCAGAGGTTCTGGGGTTGATCAAAGACAGTGCTAGGCATAAGCAGACAAAGCAATGGCTTAATGGCCCTGAGCAACTCATGGCCCCCCCTTAATTATTAGTAGATATTGTATGGGGTTGCCCCCCAAAATATTCCTGTTTAGAACCTCCAATGGATTAGCACAGGCACTGCTATTGATTAGTTAAGCGGTGCAAAGCACTTCCTTCACCTTTTGGGCAGAGTGTGCTGTTTCCACAGAACTTTCTGACCTGGGTAGTGAATGACTGGGATTAGTAATTGAACCCCGGACTTTAAACAGCAGAAAATGGTTCAAACCAGTATTTAATTTTTCTGGCTGCAAACTCCACCTTTTTGTTTATTTATATCAGAGAAGTAATGCCCATTCTGTAAGTTTCATGCAAGCTTGACAAGTTTTGTAGCTGAGATTATTTTGAAGAGCTGCAAATTTTTAAACAGCTTCCTTACTTACATATTTTTGGAAAGTTAATATTCAGCCTCTGTGGAGGCTCCACAGTCAAGACAGGTTTACTACTTGAACAGTAAATAGGAGTACTTGTTTTAAGAAAAGGATGGAAGAGAGGGGAACTGCAAACTGTTCAGGAAAGGGGAAACAAACTAAATTCAGATTTGATTTTTAAAATGTTTTTTTTAAGTGTTAGTGTTTTTTCTACAGTGGAAGCTGCAATTGATGAAGAACAATATTCTGTTAAAGTAATTAAAAAGAATTACATTTATGGCAACATCAAACATCAAGGTGATTATTTTTATAGTTAAGATCTAAGTAAGCATTTTAATGCAATATTAATACAAAGATCATAAATACAGCAATAAAGCATATAAACAAATGTACATATGTTGGTGACTGTGGCTGTGTTATTATACCAAAAGAATTTCAAATCTTAATTATATAGAAAATTACATAATTCTTCAAGCATATAAACAGGAAATGGATATCATAAAATAGGCAACTAAATTTTTTACTTCAAATTATTCCCAACTGGAACAATTCAATTACTGCAATCTGAAAGCTGTCAGTAAATCATAGCCACTGTGCAATAAAGGACATTGTAAACAGAAAGATCTTTGAATTAAGTGATTGCACAGAGCAGTAGGATGTGTGCTTATGGGTTTTTATATAAGATGAAAAAGGTATTGGCAAAATGATAATTCATTCTACAAGCTATCGATATTGCACAATCTTGGAGAGTCTGTTTTCAGTAAGGACTGCAAGTCAAGTATGCCGAACTGTGTTTTGGCCAAGGCTATAATGTTTTTAACTGAATCACAGTAAAGAAAGATAAAAGAGAATAGTTATAGATTTTTAATCAAAGGACAGCATATACATTAGACATGGTTCTGTTGTGAATTCCTTAATCAGGGTCCCATTCTGACACACATGGAGGAGGGTTTGAGAAAAAACTTGTTTTGAGGTAAACGGTGTTTAAAAAGCCTTTGTGCCAAGGTGTAGAGAGTCCAAACTGCTCTCTAAATACCTGTTTGCTACTACTTGGTGGGTAACTTAGAGTGGCAGAGTATTTGGGGATGGCGAATAGTCGTACCTGGTGGGAAACAAGTACAGTTACTAGCATAGTAGAATTGATGGAAACCTGTTACGTACCCAACAGCAGTGGAAAATTTATTTATTCCATACCCATTGTAACAGATCCCACAAATTCTGTACCTGGGATATAGAGTAGGGCTATAGCTTATTCATTCCCATATGGATCCAGTCTGTACTTGTTAATTTCTTTCCTTTTTGTTCATTTACCAGATTGACCCCATAAAGTATCTGATTGGTCCGCACAGTTAATTGACTTAATATAATAGATTTATTCTACAAAAAGTTTAACACCACATGTTTACAACTACCTATTAAAGTTACAATGGAAAATGATTTAGAAAAACTCTAAAGAACTTTAATTTGGGTGGGAGGTGAGCCAAAGTCAATGGGGGCATAATTTATTATTTAGTGAGAAATTAAATAGATCATATTAGAAAAATGCCCTCGAATCTTTGTTTTTCTGGGGTGTTGGCTGTGGTCAATTTATTGTATTTTAGCACTAGCCTTTATTGTATTAAAGCACTAACCTTTATCAGGTTACGCCATAGGAATAACACATGCTGCTGAGCTGCTGGTGATTCCAATAATACTATTCTCAGGATGCAGAGCTGTGGCTTAACAAACACTTTTCCCCTGTGGTGTTGCTCTAGAATTTTGTAAGCATTTAATGTCACGATAAGGGTACTACTTGCCTTCTCACCACCTCAGCTGCAAACTGGAGATCTGATATTCTTAGGCTGTCAAATCTTTGGGACTGGGACCATGTTTTCCAGTATATCTGGACAGTACAAAGCACATTGTGGAGAGTTCCATGGTACAAACTAATAAACAATAATAATAATTAATAAATAAGGCCATTAAGAGATTAGTGTAACGTTGAACTAATTTTGCAAGTTGGACCTAAAGAAGTAAAGAATTAATGTATATGTGTATATATAAATTGATATTTAGTAATTTCATTCAGTTTCAGCATTGCTAGTTATTTAATTCATTCTCTTGTATTGCAGTGACCATTTATGTTAAAGTGTATACAAATAGTCCATTTCTAGTATGCATGGATTTGGCACTTTCTCAAAAAGAAGTAATAGATCCAAACTATTTATGGATTGGACCAGATGGAAAGAATCTAAAAGGCAAGTTACTTTCTCCTCATTATAGTTTATATACAGTCTTACTGGTTCCATGTTTATTCCATCACCTACTAACCCACAGAATCTGATTTTTATGAATATCACATAACAAGAAGCAATCCATATGTGATAGCTTTGTTTTCTGTTTCTCTCCTATTTTACTGAAAAAAATTAATTCCGTCACTAATGGATGAGTAGATTTCAGAATGCTGTATGTGAGATCACACTTCCTAAGTTTTTGGAGAAACCTATCATCAGTGGGATGGTGTGACTTGTGGGTCATGTTATCCTATGTGAATTTTTTCATGGGTGCTTTCATTAGCCTTCATTTCTTTAAGACATTTTCCATAATAATGTGTGATTAGTCAGAATTTGTTTTGAAGCTCTTCCTGATTTCCATAAAGAAAGGAGGTAATTTTCTTCACATAACTGACACAGATCTATAAAGAAGATTAAGGAAGGAGAGCTGGGGACTGAATATCCAGTCAGGCACTTAGGGGGAAACTGGAAGCACTATTAAAAAATCACTGCTTGGTAACCAAATGGGAGAGAGATTATGGAGAAAGTGGAGCTCCATGCCTAGTGGACTGGGTTGTTGTTTGTTTTGTGATTTTTCGGTTTGAGTCTATATTTTCCTTTTTTTTTGTTGTTAACCTAAGCACAGACAGGCTCAAGAATAAAGCTGTGGAGAAAAGCTTTACTTGGTAAAAGACTTTGTAGTTGGCCCAGTTGGCCCACTCCATCAGTTTACAGATGTAAACACACAAACATTCCCCACTCCACTAGTTTGAACACCAGCAATGGTATTATAATACTATAAATGAAGAAAAAGAATTACTTTTAAAAAAATTAAGATGTTTTCACTCATATAATATTAGTTGAGTATTCACTTTATTAGCATATCAAGAGCATATTTTCACCTGTTCATAAGTTTTGTCAAAACAGTTCATGCTTTGAGGTATTTTCACCAAATAAATACACAAAGCATGATTTGTACTTTACTGAGGGATGTAAAAACTTGACCTTTGATATATATTTAAAGGCTGTTTTAATATTTTGTATATGCATCTTAAATGTTTTTTATTTTGATATATAGCAATGCTAAAAGTATGCACATGTTTATGTTCTCAGCACACTTAACATAACTTAAAAATACATCTTAAGTGCAGTAATTTAAGATAACCTGCTGTAGATCCTCCTTTCTGTCAAATAGTTCTGGACTCCTACAATTACATTCCCTCCTCCAAATTTTCAAATGCCTGAGGGAAAAAATGAGATTTGCAACAAGTCCTGAAGGTCATTAGATTCAGACCAACTTCTATAAGTAAATTGATATTCCTATGTAAATAATATATCTTCTTTCATCTGTTAGTATACTACATAAATTATGCATCAGTATTTTTCTAATATTAATCAGGTAGTTTCCTGTTTCCATTTTAGGACAAAGATATATCAATCTCACGGAAACAGGAAAACTGATGGTGAGAGGTTTTCAGGAATCTATGTCTGGATCTTATACTTGCACTCTTTCTTATAAAACCATCAAAACTGACATACAAGAAGAGAGAGAAAAATTTAAGACATATAAATTTATGGTTTATGGTAAGACCGTACAAATTTGCTGGTAAACTAGTGCATGTGACTTTTCTGAATATTGGTTTATTAAACACAATTAGTTAGCACTGTACTCCAGAATGTAAATTACATTTTCAAGCACCTTGGTGATAAACATCTTTATTATTCTAAATGCCGGTTTTTGAAAAGTCAGTTCAATACAACTTCGATTTCAATCAAATCAACACAACTGCCAATAGCATCTGGTGATTGTCCTTGAGAATGAAATAATCTTTACCCTTGGGAAAAATAGACGAGGTCATTGCCTTCTTCCTGCCTTCCCCCAAAGGTACCCAAGGACAGAAGAAGAGGCTCTGGTGTGGCTGTGATCTTGTTCCAAAGAGGTGTCAAAGATGGGGCTCTGTCCTGGTCTGATCTTAGTTGATGACATATGTTACAAGTGGTGGAAGGGTGACAGATTGTGCAGTTTAGCAACCCCATCATTCTCCCAAAAACAATTATAAAAAAGTAAATGAAAGGAGGAAGAAACAGATGTAAATTCTTTTTCCAGTCACTTCAAAACTCTCCACCCTAAAATGCAGGTACATGAAGTACTTTCTTTAACAATTTCTCATCACATTTCAGTTATGTCTACTTTGTAAGCAAGTGCACAGGCTCAAAAGTGGCTATGTTAGTTCTGTAGCTGTTTTGACATATAACATTTTCCCATGGTTGGTATTTAGGCACACAGTCATATAAAAATATAGTGTGTACACATACGAAAATTCTTGTGTGTATCAAACTAAATGAATAGTGTAATGCCATTTAAGTCAGGGAAGCTATACCAAGGATGCATTTGGCCCGTCATGCTTAATAAGTAAACAAATTGGTTTGCCTCTAAATAAAAGTCTATTTAAGATATAAGATACAAAGAGTAGTACTGCATAGGAAATATAATATGTGTGGGACAGACATTATATTGCATGTACTTATGTGTATACTAATTTTTTTTAGCATATCGGGAGCCTGACTACACATACCAGATATCTGTTCGGTTTACTACAAAAGAGTGCAGACTAGCAGCTAATGGTCAATTCTTTGAAGAGCTGAAGAAAATCTTGAATGATTTAATCTCTGATTTGACATGTCATGTTATAGAACCATCATACAAATGTCATGTCATCAAGATGCCAAAACATGGCCTCCTGGATGAGCTATTTGTTACTTTTCAAGGTAACAGATTTAAGCATTTGTTTAAGACGTAGTGTCACACTGTTACTTTATTAAAAAAACTTAAATTAAGGGCAATATAAATTACATTTGCAATTATATCAGAGTCAAATGTTCCCTCATATGTTGCTTCTCTGCTTTTCTTCGGAGTTTCTGTATTTTTTCTTCTTAGCCCACAGATGGAGCTATAATGCAGCTTATAAATTGTTTGAATTTATATTAATGTACTTTTTACAACCTTTCTGGGAAAGGTTATTCTCTAACAGGGGTGTCATTTGCAAAGGGCCTTGGGGAACATACGAATGGCCATACCAGGTCAGACCAAAGGTCCATCTAGCCCAGTATCCTGCCTTTTGATAGCGGCAAATACCAGGTGCTTAGAGGGAATGAACAGAACAGATAATCATGAAGTGATCCATCCCTGTCGCCCATTCCCAGAAAATCATTTACTAAAGTCCAGATATAGTTCATTCATGGTTCTTCATCTTGTAATTCTGTCAGAAAAATGATCAGATTTATCTTTCTTGCTATTTTCTTCTTGTTTCTTGACACTTCCTTATTTGGAGTCAGCAACTTTTATTGTCTTCTTCCAAAACTCATGATTGTACACCTGGTTGTCATGCAAATTGGTCTTTCTAATGTCCACTGATGTCTGGTCCATATACCAAGTCTTTGGCCTTCCCCTTGGTCATCTTCCGTGCATGATCATTGCAAGGGCCAGCCTATCAACATAACTCTCAGGTCTCCACTGGACATGTCCCTACCAACGTTGCCTAGCCTCCCTCAACTTGTCTTCATTTGGGGCAACCCGCATTATGCCCCTCATAACTTCATTTCATTTCCTGTCATGGAGTGTGCAGCCATTTTACCATTTCAGCATCTTCATTTCTGTGGTGGAGAACATACTGATTTATTTTCTTGTGCCTGGCCAAGTCTCTGTTCTGCACATTTGGGTGGGTAGAATTATAGTTTTACACACTCTACCTTTTAATTTTGTAGGCATCTTTTATCGCAGATGACTGGGGTCAGCCCCCAGCATTTGCACCAAGCAGCTTTGGAACAGTGCTGGGCTTCACTCAGAGCACCACTATCAGCAACCACTGATCCTATTTCAGAGTAGCAGCCGTGTTAGTCTGTATTCGCAAAAAGAAAAGGAGGACTTGTGGCACCTTAGAGACTAACCAATTTATTTGAGCATGAGCTTTCGTGAGCTACAGCATCCGATGAAGTGAGCTGTAGCTCATGAAAGCTTATGCTCAAATAAATTGGTTAGTCTCTAAGGTGCCACAAGTACTCCTTTTCTTTTCACTGATCCTATGTATTTAGATTCTTTCATTTGTCTAAGCTCTCTGCCTGTAATATCCTTTATGGTGTGTCCTCCTCCCTCAATTGTAACCTAAGTCTTGCTAACATTCACTCTCACTCCTGCCTGCTCTATGTTGCCACTGTTCAAAGTTGGATTGCAGGGTCTCACAGTCTTTCGCACATATCACTGAGACCATGTCTACGCTACGGGGGGAGATGGATCTAAGTTACGCAACTTCAGCTACATGAATAACTTAGCTGAAGTCGACGTACTTAAATCTACTGCGGGGTCCACACTACGCTATATCAACTGGAGACGCTCTCCCGTCAACTTCCCTTGCACTTCTCGTTCAGGTGGAGGACAGGAGTTGATGGGAGAGAAATTGGCGGTTGATCGCTGCACATTGAACCCCCAGTTAGTGTAGACAAGGCCTGAGTCATCAGTGAACAGCATATTCCAAGGCAACTCCCTTCCCCTATTTTCACTTATCACATCCAAGGCAACTGCAAACAAAGAAGGATTCAACGCTGACCCCTACTCCCCCAATACAGCTGAACATTTACTGGAAATTTACTGCTGTAGCAGACTACTATGGTCGTCACTCCATCAAAAATATCCTGAATAAGGCAATATATCCTTCTGGCACACCTCTCCATTGCAAATTCCACCAAACTAGTTTTCTTGATGAACATTTATACACCTTCAAGTCCACAAAGGCTGTGCCCAGTTGCTGTCTCTTGTCTCTAAACTTCTCCATGAGTATTCATAGAGCAAATATGGCATCAGTTGTACCCCTTCCCAGCATAAATACATATTGACCTCTCCAAATCTCAAGTGTTCTCAGATGCTTTTCAATAATCTTCTCCCAAACTTTCATATGGCATGTGCTGTCAGCTTAATTAGGCCATAATTAGCATACAATATAATATCTCCTTTGTGTTTAAAAATGGACACCACAAAGCTTTTATCGCATTCGTCCAGCATTTTCTCTTTCTTAAGAATATCATTAAACAGACTTGTAAAATACTTGACGCTGTCCCTTCTCATTTACTTCAGTGCATTCAGCACTTCTTCATCTAGCCTAGGTGCTGTCTTCTTTTTCTTATTCCTCAGAGCCTCTACAACCTCTTCCTCCAGTGTGAAATCTGTTATGACTTGGCTCAGCTTACATGTTCTTAGTTCCTCCTGTGAGTTCTCATTTGTCACTATTTCAAAATAATCACTCCAGACATTCTTGATTGATTCACCATTTGTTTACAATATACCATGTTCACTTCTAGTGTGTACAAACTCATATGAGCCTTTTCTTTCTTGCCTTAGCGAGTTTTTGGACAGTCTTTTCTCTGTCATATCCTCCTAGTTGATTATATAGCTTGTCACAAGCCAAATTTTTAGCTGTGGCAACACTTCTAATGGCCTCTTTTTTTCACCTCCATATACACTATCTTATCTTTGCTCAAGCTACTGGTCTGCCATTTTTTAAAAGTTATCTCTCTTTCTTCACAGATTTTTTTAACCTGAAGATTCCACCACCAAGTCTTCCTTCTTATCCTTTTTGGCACTGGTTTAATCACTCCTAGGACTTTATATGCTGTTTCTAGCAATGTTAACTTTAATTTGTACCAGATATCCTCAACAAATCCCTTTGTGTAGTCAGAAAGTCTATGCATTATTTCTTGTTTAAAGATTTTTTTAATTCCCATCTTTAAGTTTGCAGTGCTTAGACCTTTTTGGTGCCCAGGGATTCAGGTGTTTCCAAGATTTCTACATTTTGAATTCCATAGGGACAGTCGATCCATAATGCTCTCTGTAGGTGTCATAGCACTGGGGAATTGATGGGGGACAGGGACACCCCGGACACATTTTCTCTTGACTGTGTATCTGCCCTACATGAGGGGAATTTGTCTGATGGGACCTGCAGTTGCTTTGTGGCAATTTTTCATCATCAGAGTGAATGAATTCCCCCTCTCCTCCCCCCATGTTCACAACGGAGAAGCCTCAAAGTTCAAATCTGGATTTGGACCTTTCCCTAGTTTGAAGTTATTTGTATATATGGGGGTTTGAGTCTGTCCCATCTCTCATTTCCAGATCTTTTCTCTTCTCATTTATTTCATTATTTTGTTAGTGAATGACACTAAAGTCACTGGATAGGAATTGTCAGGACCACTCCTTTTTCTCTTATTAATAAATGATACCACATAGTTTTTTCCAGAATCTTGTATCTCTCCAGTTTTCCATGACCCTTTAGAAGTAATTATTAGGCATTCAGAATGTTCATTAGCTAATACTTTTAACATCCTAGAATGTCAAGCCAGCTAGACTGATTTGTATATGTTCATGTTTTCTTAGTATTTCCTTACCTGTTTTTAATCAGTTGGAGGTAATCGAAGTTGCCTTTCCTTCTTGGTTATCCATTTATCTTTATTTTTATTTAAAACTCAATTAAGTATCTTAGATCACAAGAACAATGGTTATGAAAAAAATATCTTGACCACAGAAACAAATGTAATAAATTGACACTTCCTCACAAATTTGAGGCAAAATAGAGTGCCTCTGCTCTTGAGTTGTATTGTAACAGCGTAAAATTAATGTAATATACAGATAAGAAGCAGCAACAGTAGGATGACTGGCGTTTGCATGCCAGTGCTTTGTAAAATAAATCTCCAAATGAAAGACACTCATTTCAGGATGCTCCTTTGTAATGTATTCTTCAAGGTATTTATGATGAGCTATTACAATACAGTTTTGCCTTTATACCCTTTCTCCTTTTCTCTATAGTAAATCCTTTTGCCCCAGGATGGGAAGCAGTTTGCCAACAGATTTCTTATGACTGTGAAGATGTAACCAACAGAAGAGTTCAGGAGGTAGGATTTTTTTAATGCAAGCATACCTAAATAAACATGTGAATATTCTAGAACCCAAAATGAGGGAAGGAGACGCTGCGGGGTGGGAGGTTGTAAAATATGGACTACAAAGTTAGTTAAGGTGAAATTTACTTTTCCCTGTACAAATCCTAGATAACTGGGCTTTGTGCAGGGAAGTCTAGAAGAGCAAGAACAGCATAGAGAAGGAATCTATTCCATCAATCCACAAGCAGACCGTGGTGTGTTGGTGCAGCTATTCTAGATGTGGTAGGGAATAGTAGCCACTGCTACTCCATGTCTCCTATTCAGATATTTTAGCCCACTGGATTCTTGTAAATGGGAACTAGAGACCCCTCTGCACATCCATCCCCAGTGGTCCCCTATGTAACCAATTTTGGATCATTGTGGAATGTTTCTTCCCCTTTTCCCCCCCCCCCCTTATTGAAAAGGACATGCAGATATCCATGCAGACGTCCCACTCTTAAGTACTTTTCTTTGTATTCGGGGTGGTCTGTGCACAATTGTATTCAGTGGATCAGTAGGGTTTAAATGTTATAGAAGGCTTTCACGGTCCCTTCACGCTACAGTGAATCCCATCATTAGTATTTACAGATTTTGACAGGTTGCAGTCCACCCTATGCAAAGAGCAGGAATGTATGTGTGATGTCTGGATTTTAAATAATTCAGCTCAAGATAGAAAACTGTTTAAATGTCATATTTATTCAAAAATTGCTGAGGCCAGTGTTAATGTTTCTTATACATTTACTTTCTAAAATATGAAATTATGAAAATTAGCAATATGTTAGCATGTACTGTATTGTTTATTTCAGTTTTCCTAGAACATAGACCTTTGGATTATGATTTGGTAGCTGTAAAACAGTTTAAAGAAACTATCAAGTGTAGCTTCTGTTTTATATATAGTTCATTTAGCTTCATGGTGATTGTTTATGATATATATTATATTGCACATTGGCCCTGATCCTAAGCCCACTAAAGCCAATGGAAAGTCTCTGGATCACGATGCAGTGCAGTGGGTGCAGGATCAGGCCCATATTGCATATCATATACATATTCAAGCAGAATTAGGACAGAATATATTTATTGATATATCTGATCTACAAAAAACAAAATCCCACTGTCATATTTATCATTTATCATTTAATTATTCCTAAATTTTAGGCAAGAGATCTCATTGAAGAATTTTTCCATAAACAAACATATGTTCTGAAGCACGAGTTTCGGAATGTACCTGCAATACATTATATAGACCATAGCTTTGAAGTTACTCGCATTGACAGCTGTCGTCCAGGTTTTGGAAAAAATTATGACACCCACAATGACTGCGCTAGCTGCTGTGGTAATTATAGAAAAATAAAGTATCCATATCTTTTAGCAAGCAATATAAAGATTATTGCATATTAACCCTGCTTACATATTATTGCATATTAACCCTGTTTTCCTGTCAGATACACTTTTTTTTAATATTGGTGATAAAAGTAAGCGTACTGCTGTTTATCTTTTGAAGAGGCATTTTGATTCTAAGTGATAAAGTTGGCAGGAATGGAAACAGCCAAGAAAAAGGTGCTGATAGTATTTGATGCATATCATACTGTAATAAAGGCTACCACTGCTGTCATTGGCCCATCTGACTTTCTCCTCTTGCTCTTAGATCAGTTGTAGTATTCAGGACATAGGATCAATAAGAAATTGTCACTTTCATAGTACTGCTATTTTAAAATAAATGCTCAACTGTTCTGGGAGTTCTCCTGCTAGCAGTATCTATTTCTGAATTTAGGGTTACTGGAGGCATGGTGTTCTCAGTAGGTCTTTAGTTCTTGTGCTCAGGCTGTGTTTGCACCGCACACCTTACAGCGGCACAGCTATGCTGCTACAGCCGTATCGCAGTAAGCTACGCAGTGTAGCCACTCTTTGTGGGCAGGAGACAGCTCTCCTGCCAACAAAATAAAACCACCCCCAAAGAGGGGCGTCTCCCACCAACAAAGCACTGTCCATACCAGCACTTTTCATTGGTAAAACTTTTGTCGGTCAGGGATGTGTTTTTTTTTTCACACCCCTGATGACAAAAGTTTAACTGATGAAAGTGCAGTGTAGACATAGCCTCTATTTTTGTTGGCTTTCAGCACACAATGCAAAGGCTGTCTGGTTAAACAGGGGTTAGTTAGAACTGAGTTACAGAATCATGGAAATGTAGGATAGGAAGGGACTTTGAGAGGTCATCTAGTCCAGCTTCCTGTACTGAGGCAGGACCAAATATACATAGACCATCTAAACCTCCAATGTTAGAGATTCCACAGTTTTCCTTGGAAGCCTATTCCGGTGCTTAACAATTCCTATAATTAAGGCTAAAATTTTGTCAGGGATATTTTTATTAAAAGTCAGGGACAGGTCACAGGCAATAGACAGAAATTCACGGAAGCCCGTGACCTGTCTCTGACTTTCACTAAAAATACCCCTGACAAAATGTGGAGGTGGATTCAGCTAAGCACTCGCTGCTGTGGCTGTGGGGTCCCCCACCACCTGCAGTGAGTGGGAGCTCTGGGGTTGGCCTGTTGCTGGGTCCCCTCGCCCCCCCACACCACCTAGGAGCTCCAGGGGGTCCTCCAGCTATGGCTTGGCAGCTGCAGGGTCTGCCCGCCGCAGCTGGGTAGCTATGGAGATCCTCTCATTGCCCGCTGAGGCTGGGCAGCTGCGCAGGGTCCCCCCACTACTGCTGGGTAGGTGCAGGGGGTCTCCCCACCTCAGCTGGGCAACAGCAGGGGGTCTGCCCATCCAGATGCAGGGTCCCCCCACTGTGGCTGGGCAACTGCAGGGGTTCTCCTACCAGGGCAGGGACTGGGAGCTGCGGGACGGCTGGCTGAGAGCTCCAGCCCCAGGGCAGAAAATGTCAGAGGTCAATGGAAGTCACGGATTCTGTGATTTCCATGACCTCCATGACATAATTGTAGCCTTACTTATAATTAGAAAGATTTTCTTAATATGTAACCTAAATCTCCCTTGCTGCAGATTAATCTGATTACTTTTTGTTTTAGCCTCTGTGGACATAGGGAACAACTGATTACTGTCCTCTTTACAATAGCTCTTAACAAATTTGAAGATTGTTATCAGGTCCCCTCTCATGCTGCTTTTCTCAAGACTAAAGCTGCCCAGCTTTTTTAACCTTTCCTCATAGGTCAGGTTTTCTAAACTTTTTATTATTTTTGTTGCTCTACAATTTGTCCATATCTTTTTTTAAAGTGGAGTGCCCAGAACTGGACACTGTACTGTAGCTGAGGCCTCACCAGTGCCGAGTAGAGAGGGACAATTACCTCCCGTGTCTTACATATGCCACTCCTGTTAACATAGCCCAGAATTAGCCTGTTTCACAACTGCATCACAGATCAGGCTCATATTCAATTTGTGATCCTTTTTACTGCCCAGCCAGTTATTCCCATTTTGTAGCTGTGCATTTGATTATTTTCTTTCTAAGGGTAGTATTTTGCACTTGTCTTTATTTAATTTAACCTTTTTGATTTCAAACCAGTTCTTCAATTTGTCAAGGTTGTTTTGAATTCTAATCCTCCTCTCCAAAGTGCTAGCAACATAAAAATAGTCATACTGGGTCAGACCAAAGGTCAACTGTTAACTGCTCCCAACCTGCTGTCATCCGCAGATTTTATAAGCATACTCTCCACTCCATTATCCAAGTAATTAATGAGAATGTCGAATAGTACTGGACTCAGGAGAGAGACCGCCATAGGATCCTACTATGTTCCTCCAGATTGACAGCAAACCATTGATAATTACTGAATGAGTACGGTCTTTCAACCAGTTTTGCACCCATTTTATAGTAATTTCATCTAGACCATATGTCCCTAGTTTGCATATGAGAATGTTCTGTGGGATTGTGTCAAAAGCTTTACTAAAATCAAGATATATCACATCTGTAGTTTCACACCATCCACTAGGCTGTATTGGTTTTTTAACAAGCTTATAGTTTGAACAGGTTGTATTTTTAAATTCCGAGTTTACCCAAAGGCAATGCAGTACATATATGTTTTATACCTAAAAAAATAAATAGCTAACCCTCCAGAAAAACTTTTCAGGAAAATGAGGTTGGGGATATTTACATGTCACTAGTAATTTCCAACAGTCACTTCTATTGCTCATGGCAACTGAAATTTGCAAGGCAGCCACCTAGAGTCAGTTACACAATGTTAAGCAAAGTATATGTGCATTGCTGGATCAAGCAAAGTGCTCAGCCCCTGGATTGAGCCCTTAATTTCTGGTCAGACTTTTTGGTTCAGGCTACTGTGTTATGAAGTGAAGCTAAGTGTGTTGATCTCAGAGAAACTGAAAAAGGCATTCTATAATACAGGTAGAGTTATTCTACAGGGTATGTCGGAATGGAGCACTAAAATATTAAATGAAAAGTAACTGATATAAAATATATTAAAATTAAGAATGTAGTTTTCCTTCATATGATCACTTAGCTCCATATGAAATATTCAGCATGCAAAAAAATATAACCTGGAGCTAGTTTAGTGATCTGCTGAATGTCCCTAATACAAGTTTGAAAATTCCATAATGTGTATAACCCAGCCCATGGTGGAAGTCATCTGACTGAAATACTGTATATTTGTTTGGTTGCAGTGGTTTGTGACCCTGGAACATACAGCCCGAACAATGAAGTGAGATGTCGGATTTGTACAAGCATTCGAATCAAACACTATGGAGCAAAATCTTGCTAATAAACTTAAAATAGAAATTGGAAAACTGAAGAAAAGTTGTGAAAGCATTATTATTCTTTTGTGATGTCTGTTTTTTTTTACCTCCAAACCTGGGGCTCTTATATTTCAATAGCCAATCCTCTCAAGATTGATATAACTACATTTTCTGTATTCAGGAGCCACTTGTGGATAGAGATTCTAAAAAATGTCTAGTATAAAATGTTCATACCGGGGAGAGTAATTCAATGGAAAACAAAGAATGCAAAGAAAATTATGAGTATTAATATGTGGTTTTTACAGAAAAGTCTCTGATTTGTGGTATTGACACTGAACACCGCATAGCACTGTAATTTAAATAAATGAAGGAGACATAAACAATTGATGGAGAAGTGATTTATAGTATAGTGGAATGATTGTAGAAGCATACTAATGTGTTATAATGCTTTAAGTAGAAGTCCATGTACATTAATGTTTGCAAGAAATTACTCTTGTAGGCCAGAAGTACATATTTAACTTCTATAATGTAAAAAATAAAACTATTTATTGTATTTCCTTTTGCTTTTTGTCCCTTTTTGGAGAAAAACAAGGTTGTTACAACTTTCCTCTTTGCATATGAACTCCTTTTCAAGTCAGGGAGGTTGAAATAATTTATATTAACATATTGTACTGATTTTGCTATGAGATATGGTGTACCAATATTTATTAGCCATGCAAGCTAAATGTTTCAGAGCATGTTGTTAGAACTCATTTATAAATCCCCTTAAACACAGAATCTACAATGAAAACTCTAGCAGATTCTGTGTAGCTAAAATATTAATTTACTATACTGAAAATTTCACAATGCTATATGCAGAAAGGGTTTCCAGACCATATGTAAGAAACTCAAAACAAATTCCCTAAAGTACCTTCTGCTTTCATCAGCAATTTGAAAAAGTCTCCCTGCAAACCACAGTACCAAATTCAAGGAGGATCATCTTTCTGAGACAGACAAATTAAGTTTTGTGTGGTTTAATGTAATGGACATGTCTCTTGGAGGAGTTCCTGAAAAGCAAAGTTCTCTGTAGCTATTAAAGATCGAATCACAATTTTTGTAAGAACAGGGGTTTGCCAAGAATAAAAGTGGTTATTTTCTTTTAACTTTAATTCACTGTAAAAAGTTCCTGCACATTTCTTTACGTAATCAAAGTGAAATCTCAGCATTTATGTTGTGCCTGAAATCCTTCCATTGCAGCCTACTCTGTGCAAAGTTAGGTAGTATAATGGTAAAAACACTAGCAACCAATTGAGCTTCCACCATTGCCATCACCAGTGGGATCTATATGTAGTGCAACAGTGTGGAAGTTTAAAAAAAATGCTTAATGTAGAGTAGGCTAATGAAGGCTGGAAAGACAGTTTTTTTTGTTTGTTTTTTAATAAAAAGCTTAGATTCCAGATCACATATCTTAGGCAAGATATGTTGGCAAATGCCACAGTCCTGGAATCAGGAAACATAAGGGGCCTATTTATATGACTTTTATGTTTGCTGCTTCCATCATACTTTCAGAAACTATATTATAAGCAAACAAAAAAGGTGCTGAGTATTTTGATCTCCATCTGCTTGCTTTTGTAGCTATTTCTTCTTCTCTGCATATCACCTGTGGCATGTGCTGGAGGTCCCAGGTGCCATGCTGTATGAACAGAAGCTTATTCTCTTCACTGCAGTTTTGAACCCTTTGTGATTTTTACTGGATCAGTAAACAAGTCCAGGAACAAATTGTGAAAATATTAAGATAAAGTGGAAGTATTTATTCCCAGAAAGAATCTAACCTTTCAAAAGTAAAGCAAATTTGGTAAAAATGTTATCTTATAGAACGAAGATATCTACAATGATAGAAGCTGTGTTAATACTACACTGTACACTGTCCAAGGATGGGCTATCACCAGCAGGAGAGTGAATTTGTGTGGGGGGGTGGAGGGTAAGAAAACCTGGATTTGTGCTGGAAATGGCCCAACTTGATGATCACTTTAGATAAGCTATTACCAGCAGGACAGTGGGGTGGGAGGAGGTATGGTTTCATATTCTCTGTGTGTATATAAAGTCTGCTGCAGTTTCCACGGTATGCATCCGATGAAGTGAGCTGTAGCTCACGAAAGCTCATGCTCAAATAAATTGGTTAGTTTCTAAGGTGCCACAAGTACTCCTTTTCTTTTTGTATTACAGTAGTAGTGCATAGAAACCCCACCAAGATCAGGGTCCCATTGTGCTAGGTACTGTACAGACATATTATATAAAACAGAAATGTATTATTTATTATATACAGAGATACAATATTCTGCACTGAAGAACTTAGTCTAAATAGACAAGACACACAAGGGGTGGTAGAAAGGAAGCATTATTATCCTGATTTTACAGTTGGAGAACTGAGAGACAGAGAGTTTACATGATTTGCCCTAGGTAACACAGGGAGTCTGTGGCAGAGACTTGAATTAAAACCAGATTGCCTGAGTCCCAGTACAGTGCCTTAATCATAAAATGAATCCTTCCTCTCTAAGATACCATTCCATAGCAGAAGGTGCTACACTGTTAGACGTGGACCAAAGTATACTTCAGTTGGCAAGACAGCACACTAGTCCTCTTGTCAGTTGGATTAAAGATGCTTAATTGCATAAGTTCAGAGTGGGAAATGCCATCTTGCTTGCTTTATTAAATTAAAGCTATATTGAACAGAACATCTCCGTTAACTGGAAACCGAATTTGAAAGCTGAGCACAGCTGTGCTTTGGCTCAGATAACGATCAGAACATAATATGATCACAAAGTCAGGCATTAGAGATGGAAAATACCAAACAGGTCATCTAACCCATGACTCTGATAAGAAAATCACCTTCCCAGTGAAATCAAAAATATATTCATAGTCTCTTTTTCAAAGCTAAGGTTACAAGACTACCTTCTTTCATTCATACAGTCTGTAACCCTCAGCTTTAACACCTCTCTCCTGTGCTCCCCTAGTTGATTCTTTCCACTTCTACTTTCTCTGTAAAGCTAGTTCAGAATCCAGCTCCCTTCCAGCAGTCTGAAGTGCTCTTTTGATATTGTAAAACACTAGTTCACTCCCATTGTACACTCTAGTTTAGTCCCATCCGCCCTAAGCTTATGCTTTTCATGAAAGTCCTGGTGAAATTGGGGCCAAATTATGGCTAACCCTATCCCACAGACAGGAAAAGAAGCTAGGAGGGGAGCTATGGGTGCAATTCTTATGCCTCTATCCAGGCCCCTAATAACCTAAAGTTAACATTGCAGATGCTCTGTGCTTGGTGGCACAATGAAGTATTTCAGTACGAAGCTTTGGAGTTAGGAAACACTGTGTTTTAGCAATGATCCCCTCTGATCCACCAATGACTACTGTGGAAGACTACTGTGGACTCCATTGTAATGTATACAAAGGGGATTCATCATTGAGGCTGCTGGACCCAGTAGGCCTTTCATTTCTCACTAGCTCCCTAGTTTCCAGATTTAGACTCTGACCAAGGAAAATATTGACTCCAATGGGACCACTCGTGGTTAAAGTTAAACATGTGCTTAAGTGCTCTGCTGAACTGGAACAATACAACACAAAGCCTGTGCTACTTACTTTCACCAGACAGTCTCCCTAAATTCTGGCTTGGACTCAACAGTCATGGATTGCTGAATTACAGCATTTACACACCATTCAGGGCTCAGATTACTTCTACACCTACTAGAAGTATTTGTGCAGTGTTTGGGAGTTCTGCAGGGTCTCACAATGGACAAGAAAATGGGGTAAAAAAATTGCAGCAAAAGCAACATTAATTTGTGCCTGTTTGGAACAGTGGAGAAACCAAGAAAGCCAGACTGGCCCATGAAGTTTGGCTGAGACTTGAAATCATTCTATCTGGAAAGCCTTAAAAACCCCTCCCTGGGTTGTCTGCAATTTTTATTAATGTACAGTACCTCTGTTTTTTAAATTAAAGAAACTAAATCTGGTTTTTGCTTAGTGTCAATCAGTTTGCATGAGAAATGAAAAAAAGATTACAGCAAACAGTTAATTAGGAGGGAAGGCTTTTTTCATTCTGATTTCTTGTTCAGGAAAAGGCATGTTGCGTGGGAAACAGAAAATGTAATGATGGTATGTATTTAAACGACTTTTGGGCTTCTTGTTCATCGGAGTTAATTTCCACTCATAGAAAGCGTCACTGACTATATTCTATGAACAGCATTATTCCCACTATAACAAGCAACATCACAGGAGTCCTTTGCATACAATGAAGAAGTATGATTTATTATTGACAGCAGTGCCACTGTAAAATGGATTTTGCTTGGTTAAATAAATAAGGGTTGTTGATGAACTGCAAACCAGTTTTAACCACAGTATAATTGCCACCAGTTCTAATTATTTGAAATATTTTTATAGTTATGAAGATTAAACAATTGGACATCCTTCATTCCCTCTTCTAATCATTTAAAAGTTCAAAACACAATCTAGGGATAGAAATGCAAAAAGTGATTACCTTTGCTAAATTTATTTCAGGACTATCTTTAAAAAAATAAATCACCTCTAGGTCTTTTTCTAAAATATTCAAATATGCAAAATCAAACATCAAGCTACCCAGGTGATTAGTGGCTTTCCACTGAGATAGCCATTGCTCCTAGGATAGATACTGGCAGGATTGGCTGGGGCTTGTGGAGTTCTGAGAACACAACTCTTGAGGAGTGATTGGGCAGAAGTTCTTGCCTCTAGCTTTTCTTAGTGGAAGGGGAGCAGCAGAATAAACCCTGTCTAGAGCAGTCTTGATTTCTGGCTTTACAGTTCCCTGGAGGGGAAAAACCCTGAATTTTTAGATTTAATTGTTTTTTTCTTTTCATACATCTTGCGGAATTCCCGCTTCCTTAAAAAATGTTAAGCTCAGGGATATGCTAAAATGGTTTTATTTTCACTTCTAGAATGAGTCTTTTCAGGTTGTAGCACTGCTACATTATGTGTAAACTGGTAGAAATACTCTGTTTCACTCTACAGCTGTAAAGCCAAACCCTTTAGGGGGGATCTGGGAGGAACCATAACAAAAGTAGTCCCTGGAAGCACAACTCTGGGGCCATTGGAAACCAGTGAGACTGAGTGACGGAGTAAATCAAGGGCAGTCCATTTAGGAGGCTCCAGCTTAACCCAGGGATCTACCTAGGTCATGAAGGATCCATTGGTTAATGGGAGTGGAGCAGCCAACTTCTTTTGTATGGGAGAATCACCATCTGAGTTTCCTCTCCCTGTGAAGGATTTCCCTTAAAGTAAGGACCCTAAGTAAGGATTTCAGGATTCTTTCCTCAGTATCTGGCAGATGAATCTTGCCCATATGCTCAGGGTTTAGCTGATAGCCATATTTGGGGTCAGGAAGGAATTTTCCTCCAGGGCAAATTGGAAGAGGCCCTGGAGGTTTTTCACCTTCCTCTGCAGCATGGGGCACAGGTCAGTTGCTGGAGGATTCTCTACTCCTTGAAGTCTTTAAACCACAATTTGAGGACTTCAATAGCTCAGACATAGGTGAGAGGTTTATCGCAGGAGTGGGTGGGTGAGATTCTGTAGCCTGCGTTGTGCAGGTCGGACTAGATGACCTTAGTATCTATGAATCTATGGCACAATATGCAGTAGTCATCTAACCACATTGATTTTTATCTGTGGGGAGTATATAAGCCATGAGTTCTAGGCTTTCAAGGGTGGTGATTAGCTCACAGCTAGCCAGGTCATGATTTTTTATTTCTTTCCAATAATACATTCTCCCTCAGCCACAGAATAAAATAGCTTTCCATTGGGTGTGCCAAACTGATTACCCACTCATCTGAGTGAAGAAGAATTCTTCTAATAGCCAAGATCTAACTGTGTGATGAAAGGATACATTCAGAGGTCATGCTTCTAATTCTCTTATTACTGATTGCAATAGATAAATATACAATATAATTGCAAATAAAACTACAGAAACATATGATATTAAAATTGATTAACATATGTTCTTGTTCAAAGAAAAGTGTTTACTATATCACTCTGATTGATAATTTTACCTTGGAATTAAGCTCACCCATATGTTTGGCAATTTCCTATATTTAGCTACACACAGTACCAGTTGTGTCTGGTTTCAGATTTGACTCAGATGCTAACCCCTACCTAAATGACCAAGGATGGAGTAAATATTAAATTAGAGAAATTTACAAGTGATAAAACACAGTCTGGCTTGAGTACCTTGAACATTCCACTCTGTTTGAAAATTACTGACATCAAATATATATTTCTGAACTGAAAAACCTGGGTAAGAAAGCTGATGATACTTAAAAAATCCTCAAACAATATTTGCTAAATAATTTAGCTAATCATACTGAGCACAGATAGCACCCACAGTGAAGTGTGTGGTATAAATGCTGAGTGAGAGATGTATATAATATATACAATGGGTGATCTACAAAGGAAATACTTACTTGGCTAGATATTGCTTTCTAAGGAAGGGAAAATGCTCTAAGGAGCATCACCACCAAAACCCTATGCTGGTCCAGCAGTCACAATAATAATTGCAATGTATACCCTTGCCTTCCCAATAAACGCACCTGTTCTCAGCACTGTCCAGCCCCAGCCCGCCACGTCCTGAAGCCTGACAATAAACCAGTCTGGAAAGGGCTCCAAGACATCTGGTCATTGCATCCACTTATTTTTTTAAATGCTTCTCCCATCTTCTTAGAGCTCTGTTTCTCATCTTCTATTGTGTACTGTGGAATAAGGATAATCCATACCAACTTGAAGCTGGTTTAAATTGTACACCAGTTACACTGCTCCTCTGGGATCATTTCTGCTGCATTTGGTACCAAGCTGCCTCTATTCCTGTGGCCACACTCAAATGTACATTGACCTTGTTACCTGCACACTTTAGGGAAACTCACCTTTTCCCAATTTGTAGGGCTCCAGGCGAAAAGCACCTACCCTTCCCCAATTCATAGGACTCAGGGCCACTTGTACGCAATTCGTAGGGCTCAGGGTGTAACTAACCTGGTCAATTTAAGTACCCACACCCTCTCCCAATACGTAGGGCTCCAGGTGTATACTACTTCTGCAGGTGTGCAGGACCTCTTACCAGTGAAAGAGCCTTACACAATAATATACGACATCACCTCTATTTATTAACAATCACCAAAAATGGAATGCACATGCTACACATACAATGCTCCCAATAAGACAGATGAACTTTTCTTGATGGCCAGTCAGGATCGGGTCTATCTGGGGGACTCCAGTTTCTGCACGGTGTTATTGGCAGAGTGTTGAGGTCTGGCAGCTCTGATCTTTGGGGCTGTGTCCTGGAGTTGGTTCCCAAAGAACTTTCTTTTGGACCCCAGTTTATATAGTGAAATTTGAGTCCTTTTAAACTATACCTTAACCAATTGTTATACTAAAATTTTACTAACCAATCCTAACATAGTGTAATAAAATTCTCTAACCAATCCTACCCCACCACCCTAATTAATTTACACCTAGCAAAATTAATTATGTAACAGACAATTAAAGAACCAGACAGAAATCATACAGATAAACAATAGGGAAGTGGGGAGCATAATGACAAAACAAAGAAATGAGGATTTTACACCCACAACTATTGATAAGTGATTTCTTGACCGACAGGATGCTATCAAACTAAGTTTTCTTTAACCATCTTAAGATCTGTTTCTTTATCTGGTGATGGTAGGTGCCATTAGGACGGGGTCTCCTTCTTGACAGCCTAATATTACATTGTTTTAATGTAATTCAGATGGAATGTGAGGATGTGACTTCCTGCTTCTCAGCTAACTCAGCTGCTCTTTTAATCTGGCTGCAGAGAAAGGCCTTAGGCTTTAGGCCTTACAATATGGCTGCAGACAAAGGCCTTATCCTTACAATCTCACCACCTTTTCCTGCACACAGTGGCAGGCATGTACCAGGGCTCAGATAGTATGCCATGCGGTCTAATTTGCTGTGCACTTGTGCAGGATCATTCCAGACAGGATATCGGGATTCTCTTAGCCCTTATTTGGTAGGACATGGGGCAATTTGTCCCTTTCCTCACTGTTACACACTGCACACCAAGACAAAAGACCAATGGATCTCAAACTTTTTTACTGGCAACCCCTTTCACATCGCAAGCCTCTGAGTGCAACCCCCCTAATAAATTAAACACACTTTTAAATATATTTAACACCATTATAAATGCTGTAGGCAAGCGGGGTTTGTGATGGAGGTTGACAGCTCGTGACCCCCCATGTAATGACCTCAAGACCCTCTGAGGGGTCCCGACCCCCAGTTTGAGAACCCCTGTGAAAGACAGTCCTTGCAATTTACCACAGTAAAGTCATGTTGAGATAAGGGAAATTATTCCTTTTTACACATAACTAATGTATTTTATATCCAATTTCTAGACCTTTGTCTGATAGACCTGCAGTACCCAGAGCTATATCGTGCCATCTATATTTAAGCAAAATTTCCCACTGAAATCAATAGTGAGTTCTGTTTAAACATGGATGGCAGGTATGGCCCCTAGAAATCAGTTTCTTTTCCTAATGAGTATCCCAAAAGAGACTTTTAGCCTTGAGCTGCTCCTGGACAGATATTTCAAGCGACCCTAATGAATATCATGCTTTAGGGCAGGGGTGGGCAAACTTTTTGGCCTGAGGGACAAATTGTATGGCAGGCCATGAATGCTCACAAAATAGGGGTAGGGTAAGGGCCGGCTGAGGATGCGGGCTCTGGGGTGGGGCCAGAAATGAGGAGTTCAGGGTGCGGGAGGGAGCTCCGGGTTGGGGTGTAGGGGGGCTTAGGGCTCTGGGGTGGGGCTGGGGATGAGGACTTTGGGGTACAGGAGGGGGCTCCAGGCTGGGACCGAGGGGTTTAGAGGGTGGGAGGAGGATCTGGGCAGGGGGGTTGGGGTACAGGGGAGGGGTGTGAGGGCTCTGGGGTGGGGCCAGGGATGAGGGGTGCAGGACGATGCTCCGGGCTGGGACCGATGGGTTCGGAGGGTGGGAGGAGGATCAGGGATGGGGCAGGCTGTTGCGGCCTGGGGTGGGTGAGGGCTCTAGCTGGGGAGGATGGGCTTCGGGTACAAGAGGGGGCTCTGGGCTGGGATCAAGGGGTTCGGCGGGCAGGAGGGGGATCAGGGCTGTGGCAGGGGAGCGGAGGGCCTCAGGAGTGCAGGCTCCGGGCAACGCTTACAGCAAGCAGCTCCCGGAAGCATGTCCCCTCTCCGGCTGTGAGGCATGGCCAGGTGGCTCTGTGCGCTGCCCCATCCGCACGTGCCATCCTTGCAGCTCCCATTGGCCAGGAACTGCAGACAATGGGAGCTGCGGGGTTGGTGCCTGCAGATGGGGCAGCGGAGCAGGGAAAGCCCCTGACCCCATTCCCTGGCTGGAGCACAAGAGCAGGACAAGCCCCAGATCCCGCTCCCCAGCGGGAGCTGAGGGCCGGATTAAATGGCCTGATGGATCGGATGTGGCCCGCGGGCTGCAATTGTCCCACCCCAGCTTTAGGGTGATGGTTTGTAGCTCTTTCTTGATCCACATTTTTTATTTTTACACCCTCCCATTTAACCTGGTATCACTCACTGAGAATCCACAAAGCATACAAGGCTGCATACAGTGCAGATAGGTTTGATTGGGCTTCATTATTCCATAGGTAGGTTAAAGAGGGTCTGTCTGTCTGTGGAATCAGTCCACAGGTATACATCATTTCTGCAGTTATGTTCTTTTCTTCTTCTGGCAGAGAAGAGGCCAAGCTGAAGTTGCTTTCTCTGCCACTGGAAAGAATCCACTCCAAGATGTCATCCATCTTTGCAAAAAAAAAAAAAAAAAAAAAGGAACCATGAAACAAAGGGTAAGGGAAGACAGTAAAAATTACTTGAAAAGGCAAATGAAATGTTTGTTCATAAGGTGGGACATCAGCTTACTGCCCTAATAGCTACCTTACTGGTTTGGAGTCTGTAACTGTATGAAATATGCAGGGAGAGGAGGAGCGCAGAAGCAGTTATATTGATCTTCAGAGAGCAGTGGGCCACAGTTTTCAAAAGTGATTAAGGGATTTAAAACTAGGCACTCAAAATCACTAGATGCTCTGATTTTCAGAGGGTGAGTGCTCAGTGCTTTCTGAAAATTGGGACCATTTAAGGTGTTTCAGGCTGAGCAGCCAAAATCTCTGGTTGCTTTTGAAAATCCATCAGATTTGTAGGGCACCATTCGCTAGTATGTTGTTTTTCATGACAAGTATGTGAGAATTCCTTTAGTTAAAGGAAGTGAGGTCAGGTGTCATTTCATGCATAACCTTATTATGATTTTTTCCTAGTAATTCCAATCTTTTTCCTTTTGTCAAACATGGGGAAATGCTGCACTCCTTAGAATCATAGAATATCAGGGTTGGAAGGGACCTCAGGAGGTCATCTAGTCCAACCCCCTGCTCAAAGCAGGACCGATCCCCAACTAAATCATCCCAGCCAGGTCTTTATCAAGCCTGACCTTAAAAACTTCTAGGGAAGGAGATTCCACCACCTCCCTAGGTAACGCATTCCAGTGTTTCACCACCCTCATAGTGAAAAAGTTTTTCCTAATATCCAACCTAAATCTCCCCCCACTGCAACTTGAGACCATTACTCCTCCTTCTGTCATCTGCTACCACTGAGAACAGTCCAGAGCAATCCTCTTTGGAACCCCCTTTCAGGTAGTTGAAAGCAGCTATCAAATCCCCCCTCATTCTTCTCTTCTGAAGACTAAACATCCCCAGTTCCCTCAGCCTCTCCTCATAAGTCATGTATTCCAGTCCCCTAATCATTTTTGTTGCCCTCCGCTGGACTCTTTCCAATTTTTCCACATCCTTCTTGTAGTGTGGGGCCCAAAACTGGACATAGTACTCCAGATGAGGCCTCACCAATGTCGAATAGAGGGGAACAATCACGTCCCTTGATCTGCTGGCAATGCCCCGACATATACATCCCAAAATGCCATTGGCCTTCTTGGCAACAAGGGCACACTGTTGACTCATATCCAGCTTCTCGTCCACTGTAACCCCTAGGTCCTTTTCTGCAGAGCTGCTGCCAAGCCACTCGGTCTCTAGTCTGTAGCGGTGCACGGGATTCTTCCCTCTTAAGGGCAGGACTCTGCACTTGTCCTTGTTGAACCTCATCAGATTTCTTTTGGCCCAATCCTCTAATTTGTCTAGGGCCCTCTGTATCCTATCCCTACCCTCCAGCGAATCTACCTCTCCTCCCAGTTTAGTGTCATCTGCAAACTTGCTGAGAGTGCAATCCACACCATCCTCCAGATCATTTATGAAGATATTGAACAAAACCGGCCCCAGGACCAACCCTTGGGGCACTCCACTTGATACCAGCTGCCAACTAGACATGGAGCCATTGATCACTACCAGTTGAGCCTGACAGTCTAGCCAGCTTTCTATCCACCTTATAGTCCATTCATCCAGCCCATACTTCTTTAACTTGCTGGCAAGAATACTGTGGGAGACAATGTCAAAAGCTTTGCTAAAGTCAAGGAACAACTCGTCCACCGTTTTCCCCTCATCCACAGAGCCAGTTATCTCGTCATAGAAGGCAATTAGATTAGTCAGGCATGACTTGCCCTTGGTGAATCCATGCTGACTGTTCCTGATCACTTTCCTCTCCTCTAAGTGCTTCAGAATTGATTCCTTGAGGACCTGCTCCATGATTTTTCCAGGGACTGAGGTGAGGCTGACTGGCCTGTAGTTCCCAGGATCCTCTTTCTTCCCTTTTTTAAAGATGGGCACTACATTAGCCTTTTTCCAGTCATCTGGGACCTCCCCCGATTGCCATGAGTTTTCAAAGATAATGGCCAATGACTCTGCAATCACATCCGCCAACTCCTTTAGCACTCTCGGATGCAACGCATTCATTTCGGTAGGAGGTTTATATGAAAAAGGACTGGAGGATTTACTTCTTTTAGGTATTTTAGGACATACAAACCTCATCCTTTAATCATTCATGTGGCTTTTTTCTGAACCCTCTCCAATTTATCAACAACCTTGAATTGTAGACACCAGAACTGGACACAGTATTCCAGCAGCTCACAGCAGTGCCGAATACAGAGATAAAATAACCTCTCTACTCCTACTCAAGATTCCCTTGTTTATGCATCCCAGGATTTCTTTAGCCCTTTTGGCCACAGCATTGCACTGGGAGTTCATGTTCAGCTGATTATCCACCATGACCCCAAATCTTTTTCAGAGTCACTGCTTCCCGAGGTAGAGTCCCGCACCCTGTAAGTTTGGCCTACTTTCTTGGTTCCTAGATACACACATTTACATTTAGCCATAAATGCATATAGTTTGCTTGAATCCAGCTTACGAAGCTCTGTATCAGTGACAAGAATAATGGTGAGACTGGAGTGTGTGGAAGGTTGTACTGCCATGTACTATTTATCTGTCAGTGTATCTACCTGGATCTTTGATATTTCTAAGGCAGGTTTCCTGTTCTGCAAATGAATTAGAAGTTTTAGCCTCCAGAGCTGCTTATCTGATGCCTTTCAGCAGCACTAAATTAATCCCAAAGAACAATAAATAGAAACTAGCTAGCAGTCCGAGTGTGAAAGATGTTATCACAGACAGCACTGATAAACATTTTCTAACCAAGCAAGGGACAGCCAACACTTTTATACTCTGCTGTGTGCTATGCTTGAGCAGACTAGGTATTTACTCTTGTTCCTTTAAGTAACAGGCTCAATACAGATGTAGAGGAGCATAAATCCAGAATGTTCTCAGTCCATCACTTTTTACTGCAGATATGTCTGCAACAGAGTAGTGACAGATGTAAGGAACCTAGCAGAAGATACATGGAGACAGATTCCAAAGTGGGCAGATTAAGTCTTTTCCTTATACTTTAAATACTGTGAGACAGGCTACAACTAGCAACAGTCTATAACTTGTACTGGGAATATTGAGGGAGGATATTTGAGATCCAGTTACTGCTATTGGAGACCTAATGCAGCACTGAATTAGTCAGCTGGATACACAGACGATCACCACCTTCTGGCCAGCTGATACTGTTGTAAGATCTAGGGAACAGGAAATGCTGGAGTTCATAGTGCGTCCCAAGCCACTTTGAGTCATGTCAGGGTATAAACCTAGCAAAAGAATGCGGGGGGGGGGGGGTGTGTTTGGAGAGGGGGAAATGGAACCGGGTGTCCTATAACTCTGGTTTGGCTAACATGCCTGGGAAATGCTGCTGGTTCTCATTGGGGATAGGGAAGAAATCAACTGAAGCATTTTAGTGGAGGTGGAGGGAATGGTTTGGTGGATTCAGACCCATCATGGTCTCTGTCCACATCTTAGTCCATGGCTTCCTGCAAGGATAAACTGGAGACTAAGGGCCTGAGTTTCTAGAGCTCAGTTCCCATTTTCAAAGGTGTCAGCACATTGAGGGCTGAGCTCATGGAAAAATCCAACCAACAGTGTGACACATGGGATCTGTTGGGTCTCCAGCTTTTTTGAAAATCTGGCCCCACAAAATGAACAATGGGGCCTTTTTCTCACTAAAACATTCCCCTCCTACAGGTATTCGACCTCCAGCTAAAAAATCCACTCCTAGATATTGATCCACACAAGAGGCAGCTGTGAGGACATAGGTCAAAATGGCTTGGCATGGTTGCTCTGCAGTTTGAGTTGACTATAAAGGAAGCATCTTGAGCTCATATAGCACCTTGGTGAATCTCAGATGTACCATGCGTGCCGAACGTCCTGCTGGATGCTGTGCTGAGCTGTATCAATCAGCTTTATTGCAGTGTTAACGAGTAAATATTCAAAGATACAAGTGTGGGAGGATCTTACCAGCTCAAGCTGCTTGGCCACCACGTTCTTCTCTAGGCAGGTCACAAGCAGGGTCAGCACTCTAAAGTCCAGATCTGCGAAAATTAAATCACAACCTCAGGGAGAGCCAGAAAAAGAAAAATGCTTGGGGTGGCGTCCTTTAGAGCGGAGCTGTTGAAAGTTCTGGGTGCACTGTAATAATTCGTTACTGTGATTCATGCTTTTAAAAATGCAAAATACCTTCTTTTCTTAATTGTTCAGTGCAGGTGAAAAATACCAGATTAACAGCCCTTAGGCTGAGAGTCCTTTGTTGCTCGAGCAGGTAGAGTGCAAATGGCAGCAATGTGCAAGATTCTGTGCACATCTCCCCACTGATGTGCCTCAGCCCTGATCTGAAGGGACCACTACTTGATAAGATCTAGTGTTGATAAGAGAGGGGAATTCACTCTCTAATGTCCATTCACTTCTGGTTATGATTAAATGGTGGTGTTAGTGATGTGTATTCCTGTCCACTAGGAACTGGACTGAGACCCACCGAACACATTTTGCATAGGCCACTAGCCATCGACAGGGGTAATAACTTGTGCTGAATTTGAGCAGTGATTCACTACAGAGATGAAAGTCTCAGACTGCCATAGACAATCCCCTGAGCTGGCCTCTTCCTCTTGTTTCTTTGTTTCCTGTGGAGCCCTAAAGATCTCCACTCTAAACCTACAGACCCCTGAGATACTGTTTTCTGACCACAGCCCTTCCAATCAAGGATTCACAGCTGTGTCAGTGGGAGAATGCTGTTGCACTTTACTGCAAGCAGTTGATGTCTCACCATGACCAGGTGTCCCAAGGTGGGACTTAGATGCATGGAACTGGTGAAATAAGAAGCAATAGTTTTAGTGAATGGCCGACACAGATTCTGTATGTTCCATGGCAAACCCCAAGAGTTGGAAGGTAAAAAATGTAGAGGAGAAGGGGAAAGCTGCAGAATACCACAGCAGGAGAGAAAAATGGAGGGACGAGAACACATTGGGATCAAGGTGAAGCCAAATCTCAGAGCCATTCTGAAGATGCAGAGGGGACTTGCTAAGGTGCATTCCATCCCTTGAGATTCTCCAAAATAGTGTTTCTCAGCCTTTTCAGGTTGCTGACTGCTTTTTCAAAGTAAAAAGTTTTCATATTCCCCATACATTTACTTTAAAAATAAGAGTAAAAATGTTTCAGTGATAACAATGCTAAGCTTCTATAATTTATTTAAGTGTGTGTTTTGAGAGGTTTACAAAGAACACTAGATCTGGAAGGGCGTGTAGGCAGTAAAGAGGTGGGTTTTTATTTGGGGGGGGTTGCTTTAGATTGTAATAAAATTTTCCACGTCATGACCCCCGATAGTCTGTCATGACCCACTGGTTGAGAAACACTGCTGCAAAACTAAGCCCACTTCTTTACACAGCCTTTCCAAGACCACTTAATTGCACACTTTTCTATTCTGATTTCAGTTGCAAAAACTTCCCCTAGTTTTTTGCTTCCTTCTCACCAAGAAATTTTCCAAATTCATAACTAGCAGTATGAAAAAATTATACAACTCAGATAGCAAACTGCAGTCTTCCTTGACTCTCCTCTTAGAACTCCACGAATCTCTCTCATTCATAAACTTTAGCACACACACACAAAGCTAAATCCGTTTTGCAGCTGCTCTTCCACAAGTCTCAGATCAAAGATCTGAGGCCCATCAGTGCTGCCAGAGTGGTGCCTATCCAATTATTTAAGGAACACATTTGGTAGTTGGTCTGTCTGTCATGTATGGGTTTCATGTTTGAAATCAGTGCCTTGGAAGACGCTTAACCTATAAAGACCCAAATCCATTTCTCCAGGAATATGAAGTGGAAAACATCAAATAGGGCCTCGCATTTTAAGTTAAGCACTGGAAGAGGTTACCCAGGCAGGTTGTGGAATCCCTGTCACTAGAGGTTTTTAAGAACTGGTTAGATAAACATCTGTCATGGATAGTCTAGGTATACTTAATCCTGCCTCAACGCAACGAGGTGGGCTAGATTACCTTTTGAGGTCCTTTCCTGCTCAGCATTTCTCTGATTCCACGATTTTGCTCTGATGTTCAATATACTGCTGACCCTTCCACTCCCTCATTATGCTGGGTTTGTACTTTCCTGACATGATGTAGTAGTAGTGCAAAGCCAGCTGCTTCCAACCTGTGAAAGCCTCGTTTTCTGGGATAAGGTGAACACTGCTCACTGTAGAGCTTGATACTTCTAGTGAAACTTCATGATAGCATATAGGCTGGACTTCTTGCAAGATGGATTGGAATATCTTACATGTGCTTCTGAGCATATCCCAGAAACTCAGCGAGATTTGTGTACTACTTGAATATTATAGACAGCACTGGCTGAACAGCAATATCAGTTGCTGAAAGAATCAGTAGAAGAGACATCTCAGGTTGGGTTTTCTCAAGTTCTCAACAGATGATACAGTCCTGATTTTGAGAAAACACAAGGCCAATAGAAATTCTATATCATACTGAAAAAAATCAACACAGGAAGCTCAGATGAGCAGATGGGTATATGCTTATTTAGATCCAACACATAAAACTACAGAACTCTATGTGGAAAACCTAGTTCTTCATGGATAAGGACAATCGGTCATGCTTTCCCCAAGCCATAAGTTTTTCAAGCAACTTTGGGACTGCCTCTGCATTGACTGAAGTCTCCGTACCTTCTAAAGAAGAGCACAGGAAGTGTATCGGTTGCAATAATGAAGGGGCTTCTTCTCTCTGATCTTCACAGAAAACTCCTAAATCATGAAGCAAATTTTCCACCTGAGGCCAGAGAAATTCATCCAACGAGTCCAGCATTGAGTGCTTAGGTTGACCCCCTGCCAAGAAAAGCTCCAGCTGGTGGTAAAATGAATAAAAGAAGAGGAGGGGGAAAAAAGGACGGCTGTCAGTCAAAGTATAGTTCCTTCCCCCAGAAGATTGGCATTTTGTGTGTGTGCGCACGTGTGTGCAAACATGTATGACATAGATACCTGTCCCCTTAGCACTTTACTGGGACCACCAGACAAATGGGAACAACTCTCAGCCATTAGCCATCAGGAAGGATGCAAAACTGTGACAAAGGTGAAAGGCTGCACTCTAAATCCCATTACTAATTTCCTGAACCATCCAGTCCCACAGTGAATGCAATGGTTAAAGTATTTTTGACCCACATTCTCATTTACATTAAGGCCCCTTTATGTTCCTTTAATTTACATCAACTTTAAGGCGTATTTACACTGCCAGAGTGGTGTAAAGCAGTCTTAGTGCAAATGCAAATCAGGCTCTGTGTTTTAAACCCTTCCTTTTGGTAGCTCACAACTGTCTAACAGCCTGGTCTATACTTAAAAATTAGATCAAGTTAGCTATGTTGTTCAGGGCTGTGAAAAATTTTGCTCCCTGAGCACGATGGTTAGGTTGACCTAACCCCCAGCATAGGTGCACCTAAGAATTTTTCCATTGACCTAAAAAGAAAAGGAGGACTTGTGGCACCTTAGAGACTGCCACAAGTCCTCCTTTTCTTTTTGCGAATACAGACTAACACGGCTGTTCCTCTGAAACCGTCCATTGACCTAGTTACCACCTCTCAGATAGGTGTATTAACTAACCACATTACCAGAAAACCCCCTTCCATCAATATAGGTAGTGTCTATACTATGACACTACAGCAGCTGTAGTGTAGTGATCTAGCCCAGAGGTCCTCCAAGTGTGGGGAGTGCCCCCCTACGGGGATGTGGAGGATCATCCAAGGGGGTGCAACAGGGCCTGGGCCAGCGCCCATGGGGGTGGGGAGGGAGCACCACCCAGCCCCACCCCACACCCAACTTTGTTCCAGTCCCGTCCCCAGCTGCGTCCCCAGCTCCCAACCCCATTCCCAGCCTTAGCGTGGCTCCACTCCCAGCCCTGTGCCAGCCCCCACGGCTCCCTCCCCAGCCTGGGGCCGAGGCTGGGAGCAAGGCTGAGAGCGGAGCTGCACCTGGCTGCAAGCTCAGCTGCTGGCCCCCACCACAGCCCAGCTGCGGCTCTGCTCCTGCCCCCAGCCTTGGTCCTGCTCCTGGCCCCAGACCCACCCCAACTGTGGCCCCAGCCTTGGCCCGATTACCCCTGACCACATCCCATCCCCCCAACCCCCCTGCTCCCAACCTGGGCTCTGGGGGGTGCAGACAGGGGTGAGGGGGGTGTGACCCTCAAAAGTTGGGGACCGCTGATCTAGCCCATAGCTCTGTTATATCTGTGGTGGGTTACAGAGTACTGTAGTAGCCAAGCAGTTGGAGTGATGAATGTGTCTCTAATCTCTACTTAAGTGGCACTTGGCATGCATTTATTTCACAAATGCACCAATCAATGTGTTTCTTGGCTTAATGTGAACTTGTCAAATGAAATTTAAAGAGCACATACCACAGTTTTAACATCTGATATAACATCACCATCCTGCAGAAAGCTCTTAAAGGTTCCCAGCAGTTTGATCCTGAAATCCTGACTCAGAGACATCAGCTGTGCACATTCTTCTTTGATGGTGCCCTTCACTTCCTGATATGCTGGTGGTGGGTAAAAAGCAACATGCATCAGCACTCAGCCAACCTACCCACCTAACAGGTCATTAAGCTACTCTACCAAGTCTGACAATGGTGTGATGCATACATCAATGTGGTCTAGTGCTAAAGCAAGAGAGGGGAGTCAAGCAATGATGTTTTCACTGCAATGATGCTAACCTATTTGGAAAAAAAAATTTAAACTAAAATCAAAACACAGTAAAATAAAAACAACAGAGCTAATACTAGACAGCCAAATACTGAGCAGTGCTGAGCACCTGTGACTCTGGAGACAGGACTCCTGGGTTCCATTCCCAGCTCTGTTATGGGTTCATTTTGTGAACTTGGGCTAGTCACTTCAGTTCCTCCATCTGTAAAATGGGATTGCCAATATCCTCCTCATAAGGATGTTTTGTTGACTAATTGTTGTATGTTAATCACTTTGTGGGGTGCTAGATACATGGAAAGTATTATTACTTCTGCAGAGCCCCTTTTCAAACCCTCTGAGATCAGAAAAACAAAAGCAAAATATGGAGAAAGGAATTAACAGCATGCTGCTTGCCTGTTAGTGAAGGCTCTGACTTATCCTTGAAGCCTGAAATGAGAAAAACACCAGTTTTATCATTGTACTACAATTAAATTGAAACAGAAGCTTAACAATAATGTGTCCTTCTCTGGGGCCCTTTCTCAAGACTGTCACAGAACTTTACAAGCAACCATTAACTGAGCTTCACAACCCCCTAGGAGCTAGAAATAGTAATGGGGGAGTGTAGTTATACCCATTTTACACCAGAGTTTACTAAAATCCAGAGAGGTTAAGTGGCTCAGGGCCACCCATCAACTCAATGGCAGAGCCAGGAACAGAGCCCCGGAGTTCCTGACTCCCCTTCCTTTTCACTAACCACTAGACCTGCCTTCTAATGACAGTCCAGATATGTGCCAGGTAGTTTTATCCTCCAGCTGTATTTTATGGGGTCTTCACTCATAGCAAATCTACCAGCTGATCATTTACCTGCATCCATTGGTGCTGTCATATGAGAGTCCCTCTTAAGAACCCAAGTCCAGCTGTCATTCTTTCAAACACAGTGACTGAATTTGGAGTGTCTTTCTATTATCCCTCTAGGTTTCCACTCCAAATAATTTCCCTTTCTTTCTGTCCCAGAAACATTTTTTTGAGTGATTCATGGCTGGTAAAGCAGCCTAAATTAATTTCTGGCTCAGCAAAATACCCATGCCGACTCATTTTGACTTCAGCCATTATGAGACATGCCTGAGATGCATTGCAGAGAACCAGCTAGTTGAAAGATGCTGAGGAGGAGGGGAATATAAATGATATGAAAAAAGAGCGCTAAGAAAGATAGAAGTTACATGTAGCTAGAGTACAACAATAAAATAAATTGCTTACCATCCGAAACAAATAAAAATTTCCTGTTTTGTGCCAATGAGCATTTACCTGGAGAAGAAAATAGAAATTATTATTAATGATATTTTGACCTTCTCATGCTATGATCTCAAAGTGCTTTCCAATCACTCACGAATTAGGCCCTCAGCGTATGTGTAATCCTTGTACATTTTTATATCCTTGTGACGTTACACTCCATAATGCTTTATGGAAATATGCTTATGAGTGTAAATATGATGTAAATGGAATATGCTTTATGCAAAAGGTCTCTTGTAAGGTATCATTACAAAGGTTATAACCTACTGAATATATTTATCCTATTTGTATGAATGTATCATTCTTGTATCTGAAACTAGAAATATGAAGTATAACTCTGAGGTCCTATTGTAATGATGCAAAGTGTGGGCCATTAATGGTGGTTTAGAATCTTGATGGCTCCCATTGACTATGACAATTGACTGTAAATGGTTCCGTTTACCTGCAAGCCTACCTGTATATGTGTGTGCCAGCCAATGGGTAATGAAAAATGAGGTCTTACAATGTTATGTGACCATGTCACCTGATACTGGAATTCATCTTAAACCCTGGTGCTTTTCCATTTAGAAGGAGGGGTGGGGACCCAGAGAGACAAAGGATTCCCGCCTTGTGCCAAAGCTATAAAAGGGGGTGGAGCAGGACAAAGCGGGTCCCAGTCATGAGAAAGCCCCTGCTTTTCACCTAAGATGCTGGCTGGAACTAACAAGGACTGTATCAGGGGAAAGGATTGGGCCCAGACTAGGAAGGAGTCCAGTCTGTGATAAAGCTTATTGGAAATCTCTGAGGGCAAGATTTACCTGTAATCAGTTTCTTAATGTATTAGGCTTAGACTTGCGTGTTTTGTTTTATTTTGCTTGGTAACTTACTTTGTTCTGTCTGTTATTACTTGGAACCACTTAAATCCTACTTTTTATACTTAATAAAATCACTTTTGTTTATTGATTAAACCCAGAGTAAGTGTTTAATACCTGGGGGAGCAAACAGCTGTGCATCTCTCTCTATAAGTGTTATAGAGGGGGGACAATTTATGAGTTTACCCTGTATAAGCTTTATACAGAGTAAAATGGATTTATTTGGGGTTTGGATCCCATTGGGAACTGGGTGTCTGGGTACTGGAGATAAGTGATCTGCTGAGCAGTTTTTGGTTAAAGTCTGCAGCTTTGGGGGCATGGACCAGACCTGGGTCTGTGTTGCAGCAGGCTAGCGTGTCTGGCTCAACAAGGCAGGGTTCTGGTGTCCCAAGATGGCAGGAAAAATGGGCTGAGAGGTAAATTCAGCACGTCAGGTGACCGTCACAAAGGGGTCTCTGTGACCGAACCCATCACAATCCTCATGTCAACAGATCAGGAAACTGAGGAACAGAGAGGGTAAGTGACTTGCCCAAGGTCACAGTAAATCAGTGGCATACAAGCCAGGAGTCCTTGTAATGGTATCATCAGAAGTCAGTGGACATTTGACCCCCTACCAAATGAAAGTGGTATAAACTTGTGTAACCCTGACCCATATTATGTAATCGGGGCCAGGAAACAGAGATCAATCCCTTTCCAGCGCTTCTGAGAATCATACTTTTAGTCCAGGTGGGAAATTCAGCCCCCAACTCTAGCCACAAGATTCAACTGCCATGTTTCACCTCATATTGTTGTGAGGAAAGATAAAATGCGCTGTGGTTTGGCCTGCAGAAAGCAAAATGAATATAACTGCATTAAAGTGGGACCCAGTACCCCACGCCACATGTGACTTAATGGTTTCAACACTTAGCTTAGATCACTTACAAAGTGTTCCTTCCTTCGGGATATTCAGGGGCTGTACAACATATGCCAGCACTGTGCCCTGAGGAATTGTCATAGTCTTCTTTTTAATGCTCTTTCCCCGCCCCTGTGGAGTCAAACACAGCCACATGTCTCCGGTGAGATTCCTAAGGCAGGTCAATAAATCCTCACGTGGGTATGTTATAAATGAAGGGGCAGGGAGTAGCTCCCTTTGATGGACACCCAACCAGCCAGTTAGCTGTAAAATCCCTCTTGGTAGCTGTTCTCTACTTGCTTTACCTGTAAAAGGTTAAAAAGTCCCCCAGGTTAAAAAAAAAAGTGCCAATGGGAAGGGAGAACTTTTTCAAATTGGGAAAGAAACTTGCCCATTGTCTGTTGTTCTCTGGAGAAGGAGACATCTGTAGGACTCCAAAGACTCTGTAGCTGGAAGCAAGCCCAACATGAGTGAAGGGGGTGTGTGGATTTTGCTGGCCAGTGAAGGGCTGTCAATAGCTAGTAGCTGTGAGCCCACAACTGGATCAGGGTCACCTTCCCTTTTGCGGGAAACAGGAGTGTCTGCCCCAGAGGGGAGCCCAAAGAGGGATTTTAGGTATACTGCCTCTGCTATGGACAGTGTCCAAGTCTCTGGCAGTAAGTTCAGGAGGATGGGGTGATGTTACTCTCCATATGATTTTAGGAAAATATGCTAATGAGTGTGAATATAATATATCATAGAATATCAGGGTTGGAAGGGACCTCAGGAGGTCATCTAGTCCAACCCCCTGCTCAAAGCAGGACCAATCCCCATTTTTTGCACCAGATCCCTAAATGGCCCCCTCAAGGATTGAACTCACAACACTGGGTTTAGCAGGCCAATGCTCAAACCATTGAGCTATCCCTCCCTCCCAGTGTAACTGGAATATGCTTCATGCAAAAGGTCTCTTGTGAGGTATCATTACAAAGTTTATGATCTACCGAGTGTGTTCATCCTATTTGTATGAATGTCTCATTCTTCTATCTGAACCTAGGAATATAAAGCATAACTCTGCATATTGTAATTATGCAAAATGTGGGCCATTAATGGTGGTTTAGAATCTTAATGGCTCCCATCGACTAGGACAATTGACTGTAGATGGCTCTGTTTAGTTGCAAGCCTTCCTATGAGTCAGGCCAGGAAGAATGAAGGCTTGGGGTCTCACGGGACATGTGACCATGTCACCTAGTACTGGAATCCATCTTAAACCTGGTGCTTTTCCGTTTAGAAGGAGGGGTGGGGGGAGGGGACCAAAGAAACAAAAGATTCCTGCCTTGTGCCAAAGCTATAAAAGGGGGTAGAAGAGAACAAAGGAGGTTCCAGTCATGAGAAATCCCCTAGTTACCATCTAAGCTGGAGCTAACAAGAACTGTACCAGGGGGAAGGATTGGGCCTAGACTAGGAAGGAGTGTAGTCTGTGAAAGAAGCTTATTGGAACATCTCTGAGGGTGAGATTTTACCTGTAAACAGTTTCTTAATGTATTACGCTTAGACTTGCATGTTTTGTTTTATTTTGCTTGGTAACTTACTTTGTTCTGTCTGTTATTACTTGGAACCACTTAAATCCTACTTTTATACTTAATAAACTCACTTTTGTTTTAAAATATAATTTAAACATGCCCTGTCCAATAATTTTTTCTAGGTATGAAAGATGAATTTTTATACCTGGTTCAAGCCTCACGCAGCATTCCTGCTTATAGCATTGCTGTTCCATGTCTCCTTCTCCAGAGAAGAACAGACAAAGGGAAAGTTTCTTTCCCAATTTTAAAAAGTTCTACCTTCCCATTGGCTTTTTTGGTCAGGTGCCCACTCTCTTTTTTTTTTTTTTTTTTTTAAATCTGGGGGACTTTTTAACCCTTTACAGGTAAAGCAAGTAGAGAACAGCTACCAAGAGGGATTTTACAGCTAACTGGCTGGCTGGGTGTCCATCAAAGGGAGCTACTCCCCCTGCCACTTCATTTATCACAGGGTACTTGACAAGCTTTGATTCTTGGCAGAGTCTATGGGGGGAAGAGGGCAGTTCTCCAGCTCCTTTATCTGAAACAGGCTTTTGCTTATTTATGGCTTTTAGACACAGTTGCTTTGGAGCAAGTATGTCAGGAGAAAGGAACAAGCCACAGGAAATAGCCTCCTGTTATGTGCCTGATTTCAGCAGAGCAAAATGCCATGTAAACCTAGTCTCCTCTCCCCGCCTCCCCTCCCTCTCTCAGAATCTTTGTGTGACTTTAGTATTAGTGAAAGTATGGCCCGTCGATAGCTCAAGAGCCTTGGACATGATGGGCACTAGCAGCATCCCAGGCTGTGCTTCTACAATGCCCCTGCTGGCGTGCCTCAAACCTCACCTATTGAGGCCATCCCTGGGAATGAGAGGAGTTCTTATCCAAGCCATAGGCTTATCTTTGGAGACTGCCTGTAAGTTGGCCAGTTAGAGCCAATTGTGTTGTTGGTTTTGTCAATACCTGTCCACTGAGAACTGGAATGAGTAGTCTGCCTTCCTTTCCCCCACCATCATGTCTTTTCCCACTCCCTGAGGCTTGGCGTGGATGTTGCTGCATTCATATCTACTGCACAGCACTGGATCTGTGACCTTCAGAGACCTTTAATTGGTCCGAGGAGACACAAGGTGCCTGGCAACACTCCCAGACTGGGCAGCAATAGATCAGGATGGGAAATTAAATCAGAATCTCATGCATGGTGGCCATACAGAGTACTGCTACCAGAGGCAGCGAGTACCAATGTACTGACACCCACCCGTGAAGTTCTTCTACTGCTATGTCACTTTTGTGCAATATATGCTACAGCGTGTGGGGTGCGGATGACACCAGCCGCCGCTTTCTCCATGCTGCTAGCGCGTGACTAATGGAAGAGGCTGTTCCTGGAAACGAACATCTCTGGGGGGCACATAGAATTAGAAGGAAGATCATTTATTTTTACTGGTTTCAGAGTAACAGCCATGTTAGTCTGTATTCGCAAAAAGAAAAGGAGGACTTGTGGCACCTTAGAGACTAACCAATTTATTTGAGCATGAGCTTTCGTGAGCTACAGCTCACTTCATCGGATGCATACTGTGGAAACTGCAGAAGACATTATATACACAGAGACCATGAAACAATACCTCCTCCCACCCCGCTGTCCTGCTGGTAATAGCTTATCTAAAGTGATCATCAAGTTGGGCCATTTCCAGCACAAATCCAGGTTCTCTCACCCTCTGCCCCCCCAAACACACAAACTCACTCTCCTGCTGACAATAGCTCATCCAAACTGACCACTCTCCTTACAGTGTGCATGATAATCAAGGTGGGCCATTTCCAGCATAAATCCAAGTTTAACCAGAATGTCAGGGGGCGGGGGGGGGGGGTAGAAAAAACAAGGGGAAATAGCCACTCCCAGTCTCTATTTAAGCCTAAATTAATAGTATCCAATTTGCAAATGAATTCCAATTCAGCAGTTTCTCGCTGGAGTCTGGATTTGAAGTTTTTTTGTTGTAAGATAGCGACCTTCATGTCTGTGATTGCGTGACCAGAGAGATTGAAGTGTTCTCCGACTGGTTTATGAATGTTATAATTCTTGACATCTGATTTGTGTCCATTTATTCTTTTACGTAGAGATTGTCCAGTTTGCCAATGTACATGTGGCAGCAAGGCCCCTCTGCCATGTACATTGGTCAAACTGGACAATCTCTACGTAAAAGAATAAATGGACACAAATCAGATGTCAAGAATTATAACATTCATAAACCAGTCGGAGAACACTTCAATCTCTCTGGTCACGCAATCACAGACATGAAGGTCGCTATCTTACAACAAAAAAACTTCAAATCCAGACTCCAGCGAGAAACTGCTGAATTGGAATTCATTTGCAAATTGGATACTATTAATTTAGGCTTAAATAGAGACTGGGAGTGGCTAAGTCATTATGCAAGGAAGCCTATTTCCCCTTGTTTTTTCTACCCCCCCCCCCGCCCCCTGACATTCTGGTTAAACTTGGATTTATGCTGGAAATGGCCCACCTTGATTATCATGCACACTGTAAGGAGAGTGGTCAGTTTGGATGAGCTATTGTCAGCAGGAGAGTGAGTTTGTGTGTTTGGGGGGGCAGAGGGTGAGAAAACCTGGATTTGTGCTGGAAATGGCCCACCTTGATTATCATGCACATTTTAAAGAGAGTGGTCACTTTGGATGGGCTATCACCAGCAGGAGAGTGAGTTTGGGGGGGGGGGGGGGGGCAGGGCGGAGGGTGAGAAAACCTGGATTTGTGCTGGAAATGGCCCAACTTGATGATCACTTTAGATAAGATATTACCAGCAGGAGAGTGGGGTGGGAGGAGGTATTGTTTCATGGTCTCTGTGTATATAATGTCTTCTGTAGTTTCCACAGTATGCATCCGATGAAGTGAGCTGTAGCTCACGAAAGCTCATGCTCAAATAAATTGGTTAGTCTTTAAGGTGCCACAAATACTCCTTTATTTTTACTGTTGAGTTCATTTGTTTATTTCACTAATTCAGTCCTCCAGGTGCCTTACTAGGTGATCCCAGTATCATGCTCTTTGCCAGCTGGTAGTTACACAGACGTTAATACAATGGCTCCAACCACAGCTGAGTCAGAGATCTGATTGAAATGACACAGTACCAATGCACAAACCTGTATTTCACCTATTTCCCCTGCTGCGATCACGGCTTTGCCTCCTCCCTGGCTCGTCTTCTGAATGTGCAATGGTTCCTTTAACTCAAAAGCCTCAGTCACGACATACAGCTGCGTCCCAGGGGAGCCCGAGAACTCCTTTATGAACTTGTGTGACATGTCAATTTTCCTGCAGAGGACACAGAGTAACAATGAGAACATCATCTGCTGTTACTACAAAGGGTCTCAGCCCTTGTGCTTCAGGGCATCTGCCAAATACTAACTGCATCTGGTTAGGAAAAAACAATTATGAGCAAGTTGTTCCTAGTATAACAGGAGGAAATCTTTACACCTTCTTCTGATTAATGCTCTGTTTTAGAAACATACATGGGCCTAGGCACTCAGACACTATGGTGACGAACAGTTATGAATGTATTTACCCTGATAAACCCCTGTGAGGCAGGGAAGTGCTATTATCCCCATTTTACAGATGGGGAACTGAAGCACAGAGAGGTTAAATGAGTTGACCAAGGTCACACAGGTTGCTTGTGGTAAAGCAGTAAACTGAGTCTAAGCCTCTGCAATTCTATTGCACAGTTTAACCACAAGGCCTTCCTTCCTACCTACACAGCCCTGCAGGACTCCGCAGGGCCACAGGGACTGGGAGTGCTGTGTTCCCTCCTTGTTGGAGAGGAAATGTTATAAGTCACTCCACAGAGAACACTCTGGCCCGCGGAGGAATTTGTTTCACCTTCCAGAGGGTTGCTGAGCTCCAGACAGAGGTTTACCTTCCTCAGCTAGCAAGATGGCTTCTGTGGTGCAGGGTATCCAGGGGCTAGGAATGGGATTAAATGCTGTGCGCTGTTGTATTCACATTGGGCTATATGGGCCCAAAAGGTTAAAGGTGTTAACATGACCTAGTCACTGTCCAACATTAAACAGTTTTAAACCAGGTTTGGTAATAGAGACTTCCGCATGCGTATTACCATGGCAAACGCAATATTAACATTTTAGAAACTTTTATTAAAGATACAGAAAAAAGGAAAAATAGGTAAAGCATTTGAAATGTAAAGTATTAAGAAAGGCTTTCATTTCAACAACATCCCTTATTCCCTTTATCTGGAGAGAATTTTTAGAAGGAAATCCCTCCTACTTTCAGTCTTTTAGATGGTATTCAAGAGGATAACAACGGTCTTGTTTGAGGGGAAAAGAGAAGAAGAGTTGAAATGGGCTGGTGGTGTTGTTGTCAAAGTCCGATCAGGTTTCCTAAAAGACAAAAGACAGGAGAGAAAACAGCAAAGATAGAAAATGCCACTTCTGTCTCTGGTATTGACTTTTATTTGCACTCTTCCTGCTGGAGAAACAGGTGTGGAACATGGTTTTATTAGCCACTCCGAGACCTGGCAAACTTATAACAGCCTTGGGCTGTTTGGGGCATTGCTTTTAACTGCCTCTTTGATCGCAGGCTTACAGCAGGGTTGCAGAATATGCAGTGTGGGCAGCCTAAGCCAGGCTCTTATTAGACAGAAGAAAAAGAAAAAAGAGAGAGACTGGGGATGCATCACTTGGAAATAACAGAGGAGGAGAAGGACCTCGGCGTATTGGTTGATCACAGGATGACTATGAGCCGCCAATGTGATATGGCTGTGAAAAAAGCTAATGCGGTCTTGGGATGCATCAGGTGAGGTATTTCCAGTAGAGATAAGGAGGTGTTAGCACCGTTCTACAAGGCACTGGTGAGACCTCATCTGAATATTGTGTGCAGTTCTGGTCTCCCAGGTTTAAGAAGGATGAATTCAAACTGGAACAGATACAGAGAAGGGCTACTAGGATGATCCGAGGAATGGAAAACCTGTCTTATGAAAGGAGGCTCAAAGAGCTTGGCTTGTTTAGCCTAACCAAAAGAAGGCTGAGAGGAGATATGATTACTATCTATAAATATATCAGAGGGATAAATACCACAGAGGGAGAAGAATTATTTAAGTTCAGTACCAATGTGGACACGAGAACAAATGGATATAAACTGGCCATCAGGAAGTTTAGACTCGAAATTAGACAAAGGTTTCTAACCATCGGAGGAGTGAAGTTCTGGAACAGCCTTCCAAGGGAAGCAGTGGGGGCAAAAGACATATCTGGCTTCAAGACTAAGCTTGATAAGTTTATGGAGGAGATGATATGATGGCATAGCCTAATTTTGGCAATTAATTGATCTTCAACTATTAGCGGTAGATATGCCCAATGGCCTGTAATAGGATGTTAGATGGGGTGGGATCTGAGTTACTGCAGAGAATTCTTTCCTGGGTGACTGGCTGGTGAGTCTTGCGCACATGCTCAGGGTTTAGTTGACTGCCATATTTGGGGTCAGGAAGGAATTTTCCTCCAGGGCAGATTGGCAGAGGCCATGGGGTTTTTTTGCCTTCCTCTGCAGCGTGGGGCACGGGTCACTTGCTAGAGGATTCTCTGCACCTTGAAGTCTTTAAACCATGATTTGAGGACTTCAATAGCTCAGACATAAGTTAGGGGTTTGTTACAGGAGTTGGTGGGTGAGATTCTGTGGCCTGCGTTGTGCAGGAGGTCAGACTAGATGATAATAATGGTCCCTTCTGACCTTAAAATCTATGATTTTAAGAAAAGAAATAAGACGAGGAAGGAAAAGAACACCAGGGTCGGGGGAGAGAGGATAACCAAGTCTCACATCCCAGGTGGCGTTGGGATTTATCATCTGGGTCCCTCTCTTTGACCCAGTCTGGTTGGGACATCTCTTGAGATTAGGACAATAAAGTCCCAAAGATGTAACAGTGGATCCTGGGTTCCCAGGAGATGGTGGAGGTGACAGCCATAATGGTAAATCTCACTTCTTCTGGTCCACCCATCTCCCAGACAGCAGTTGTGAAACACCTTTCGATTTTTCCCCGAAGTCTTTTAAGGACCCCAAAATGGAAGTGGTGGGTGGAATAGCCCCTCCCCTCATTATTTCATCCATAATTAGGCCTAATTTTTGACACACCAATTTTGGTTTATTGATTTCTAGTCTCACACTTCCCTTGTTTACCAGGTTTAATATTTGCATATTCCTTGAATTATATTAGTAGGCCATTTTGTTTGTAATAATTCAGTCTGTCTCCCTTTTGTACCTTTTCCCCATCAACATTTGTTGCAACAGGTCATTGTGTCATTTTATAAACTTTCACTCACTTTTTACTGTTGAGCTCACAATTAGTCAGTTTGCAAGCCCAGTTATTGCAACAGTGCCTGGCTGTGGGAAGTAGATCTCAAGGCTGCAAAGGCAAGTCACTCCCAAAAGAGGTAAAATAAAAATCCATACTCACCACTGCCCTTTTTTAACCACGTAGGCTTTTCTCACGGATATCTGAGAGACTGAGAATAAACTCTTCCCTGAGCAAGCAAAGTCCACCTCGGTGGGCTGTAACTTAAGGCTGAGCTTTCCTCCTGCTTTCTGGTCTGTGGTCTCGGAGTATTGTAACAGATCAACATATTTCACCTCTTGGGAAACAAACTTAATCAGGTTTTGTTTATTGCAGAAACTCTTATTTGTACTTGTTTCTTTAAGGTTTACCTCATACTCTCACCAGTGGCTTCCCACGAACCCTCAGTATACCCAACAAAGCCACTGCTTTCTTAGATGGCTGGAAACTAGTCTCTCCCAAGGAAGTTGGAGTTGACCCAGTGTACGCTGCAAGTGAGCACCAAAATCCAGTCAGGAATTTGTGAGTGACCTGTGAGGTCTAGTGGTCAGTCAAAACATAAGACTGGAGAGCTTAGATCTCCTGAGTTCTAATCCAGGCTCTGAGACTGACCTGCCCTGTGATCTTGTGCTTGTTTCCTTGTGGCTTAGTTTACCCATCAGAGGAAACAATGTAAAAAATACTTACCTAGTGTACCTCCCAGGAGGGTTGTGAGGGCTTAATGAACTACTGTTTGTAAAGCACTTGGGACCCTTGAATGGAAGAGGCTATAGAGGGGCACAGTTATTAGTCGACCCTTTCCCAAAATAACTGGTGATCACTTTAAGTCTGAATTCAAGTCATACCTGCATCCATAGTTGTTCCTTCTTTGAATATATCTGTAAGTTTGTAGGGGGTGATGAGATATTTTGGGGGTTGTAAAGGCAGCCAGGGCTGCTTCTTCGTGACCAGACAGAAGGGTCTGTAATTATCGGCACTAGCCAAGCTGGATATAGGAATGAGTCTCCCGTCAGAGTCCAGCTCTTTTGTGAGCTGCTTGGCCGCTCTGGCAAACATTTCCAGCCCCTTGTAGCCAAATCTGGTTAAAGATGGTATCTGATGGGTTAACAATGGACCATCTGTTGAAGGCAAATTGGAATACATGAAGTTAACGTAATAATCCTGCTCATCTCTTTTCATCTGTAGATTGCAAAGCACTTTACAAAAGGAGGCTATTATTAGTTATTGTCTGTATTATGGCAGGACCTAAAGGCATCAGCTGTGATCAAGACTCCATTGTGCTAGGCACTGTACATACTTATATTAAGAGACAGTCCCTGCCCAAGGAGTTTACATTCTAAAGAGATGATATAATCAATACATTACCTCACTCACAAGAGTGTTCTTAAGGTTATTTAATGTCTACATAGTGGTTTGCAATCTTTGACTGACAGGCTCAATATAAATGTGATGTATTATTATGATCATTGTTATTGCTTACATTCCATACGAAGAGCTTCTGAAATCATAGAAGATTAGGGTTGGAAGAGACCTCAGGAGGTCATCTAGTCCAACCTCCTACTCGAAGCAGGACCAACACCACTAAATCATTCCAGCCAGGGCTTTGTCAACTCGGGCCTTAAAACCCTCTAAGGATGGCGATTCCACCACCTCCCTAGGTAACCCATTCCAGTGCTTCACCACCCTCCTAGTGAAATAGATTTTTCCTAATATCCAACCTAGACCTCCCCCAATGCAACTTGAGACCATTGCTCCTTGTTCTGTATGTGCCACCCCTGAGAACAGCTGAGTTCCATCCTCTTTGAAACCCCCCTTCAGGTAGTTGCTTAACTCCAGGAACGGCGGCCTTAAAAAAACCCACCGAATACAATGAGAGTTGTTAACACTGCTGTTTGAAGAGCGACACGTGACACATAATTTCCTTTGGAAATTTGGGTTCAGGCTGGACTAGCTATACAAGTAATGTCTATCGTGGTCTTGTCTGAGTCCATAGTTGATTTTATTTTTTGTCCACCTCCTGCAAACTATTTCCTGGAAAATGTAGCATGTCTGGCAGTACCTGCTCGGGAGAAGCCTGGGAATGGAATAGGTTGGAATAAGCAGGTGGTGCTGCAGATCGGGACCAAGGCACACTGATACAGGAGCAGGGCCCAGAGCTGGAATAGCAAGGGGCTGCAGGTCAGGATTGAGATGCATTGGTAGGGCTGTATGTAGGGAGCCCAGGGCTGGAATAGCAAAGAACAGGTGGGTCAGGAAGGACTGAGGCGCACCAGCAGAGATCTGTGCAGAGAGCCCAGGGCTGCAATAGCAGGGTGAAGTGTGGGAAGGAGTCAGGACTGAGATGCATTGGCAGAGGTGGATGAGAGTCCCAGGACTGAAAGAACAGATATTGAAAATGGGAATGAAAAGGAGATTTCTATCAGCAAGTTTAAAAAAAACGGACATACCTGGACTCTCACGCCTCACTTGTCCTGTGTGCGGAGAAAGTTCCCAGTCATTTTAACTGTGAGGAGAGGAGACGTAGGATGGTACCAGACTGTACAATACGTTCCCACCAGCGAACTTCTGCCACTGAACTTGAAATCACTAAGCAGTGACTTGCTTTAAGTTCTAGGCTGTGCTTACCCACAAAGGGAAGTAGTTCACTGGCACTGGATTGCTTCACTTGTTATTTTCTTCACATGACTGTAGCCTTTTATTTTTGTTTAAAGTGAATTTTGTAATGTGGTATTGCACCCCTGTGGGCTCAGCTCTGGTCACTATAGTTTCAAGCTTAACAGAGTGAAAATCACCTCTGCTACTTGCTTTAGATTTAGAGTCTGTAAGAACACATAAAGAGCAAAGGTGGTGACCACACATACATTCATAAGTACAAGGTATCTATTTTACAAGTTTTATTAAAATTACAATTAAAGTTATGATTACCCAAGCATATAGAAATTCTATACAAACCTATGCACAAGTTGCAAATATAGTTATACTCACATCCTTAACAATAGTGTTAGGGTCTGATGAGTCTCTCATGGATTGATCATCAGTAGAGGGATGGTTCCTGTTGGAGTGTCCCATAGGGAGCTCTGGGCACCCCCTTTTATAATGTAATTCTGACTATATCGCATTACCATTTATGTGCATCATGCACTCTGCAAGGGCATGTGTTAGAAAATGGAATCTTACTCTTACTGTTAATTTTTCGCAATATGACACATTGGTACATCTTTTCATGTAATCTTAGGGCACTGGGTTATTGTTTGGTCCCTTATGTCAGCATTTCTTAGCTCCAAGGCCTAAAATAGCTAAGCTAAACTCTTGTAGACCTCAGCCTACAGGCCTTTCTTTTCAACCCTACTCACTTTCACTTAGATACCTAATACATGATTATCCTTCTAACTACGGATCAGTTTTATACTTCTATAATCCTTCAATTTAACTCTATTTAGCATACGATTATATATAACATAACATGTCAGTTAATTATAACATCACACAATAAATGAACAATAAACTAAAATCATTGGCTACATGACTCAGAAACTTAGCAAATTTCCTTTGGAACTCCACAATTGAGTTAAGGGTTGCGGGGGGGGGGAGTTTTGGTGATTGTCTGCAAAGATGAGGAGAGGACAGAGTAGTTAAATAGACATGGGAAGTATTGGACAGGAGACTGGGAAGGAGAAATGGATGAGACTGTTCTTAAGTCAAATATCTTTTTATTAACACCCCTAACCTAGGTAATAAATCCCATTTATAGGATCTGGATTCTTTTATTTTTCCATCAATGAGCTAGTACGGTTGTTCTTTTATATAGACAACCAATGGCCCTGTGAATAAAACAGGGTCCCTTTTATTGAAGACAGTGTAAAAATCAAACAAGTCTATTTGCTTTCCAACAGGAGACAATGAGCTAAGGTTCTAAGCATTGGAACAATAGATTAGGTGCAGCTCACAGGATTCCCTACTGGTTAGTAGTGTTACCTTCAGTAGGGGAAAGTTACCAGCACCCCCTGCATTAAGTGAAAGAGACCGGGGTCTGTCAAATAGGTTCCTCTCCTTCCCCACTTGAGACCCAATTAAACTGGTTGTTAGCTAGAAAATTCCAACAGGGAATTCACCTCTGCAGAGTCCACGGTGTCTGACCATGAGCTTGTTGTTCCAAAGCTAATTACCCAGCAAATAGCTTGTTGGTCCAAGATTCTGTGCCATCCATTGCTATGGGTGCCAGAAGACCCAGAGAGGGAGAAGGTGGCTCATAGACCTTTCTTCTCTAAGTCTCCATCTCCATAAGCACCAAGTGGGGCAGGCCAGTGATGGCAGATGGGTGCCTTCACATACACACATCCCCCTCCTTCCACAGCTGATCCCTGAAAGGTCAGAGGAAAGTGCCAGAGAGGCTAACTTGTGTAGACAAGAAAGGCCACAACCACTATCCATCTGGGAGCGTATCATCTGTAGGAGTGTGGCCGTCAAAACAAGTCACGTCATGTTTGTGTCTGGAGCAAGCCATGTGATACAGGAGGCTAAATTTCCCACGAATGGGAGCTGTAGTTCCACACGCAGTCATGAGTTTGACCCTTTGTGGGACTGGGAAAGGTCACCTGCAAACTGCAGTAGCGATGACAATGGATTTGTCCACCAGCAACAATACCTTCTTCTACTATTAGCTCTAGTATAATGCCTTGTGTTAGCTTAAGATGCTTGCCCATTCCTGGCAGCCAAAGGTCTTTCCAGCCCTGCACTGGGTGCAGACTGATCACTGCAGGGGTCAGGAAGGACGTTTTTCTCCTATGTGTAGACACCTCCAAATTATGAAATCCCAAGGAGGGAGGGAGCACAGACATATACTGTGTGTTCTTTAGCCTGGCTGCTGCCCTTGTGCATCCTTCAGTACCAAATTTGACAAATTGTTTATGCTTTGGTACACAGAACAATATGGTCTAGTGGCCAGAGCATGGAACTGTGCACCAGGACTCCTGTGTTCTTTTACTGTCTGTGCAATTGATGGACCTCTTGGACAAGTCTCAGCTTTAGATTACGAGTGTTATAAAGCACATATCATGAGAATTAATGTTTGCAAAAGGCCTTGAGATGAAAGTTTCCCTGTAATGTAAAGACAACAGTTTATTAGCTACTTATCTCTTCCTCTTAGGGGCCTCTGAACTACGCCCCTGCTTTGTTTTACTGCTGCTCTGCAGCAAAAAATAAATAAAAAATTAAAAAAATCAATGCTTATCAAACAGAAACAAGATAAAATATGGATTGCTCAGCCAAAGAGCTACCAAAGGGACATGTTATAACTATGTGTGAGTATATGAAAGGTGTAGGCCATAAGGAGAGAAGGGAATTGTTTAGAGTGGGGGGGGGGGAAGAGGTTGCAGCCAAGAACAATGAAGTGAAACTGGGCCAAAAACAAACAAACAAAAAAACCACACTTATTGATGGAAAGTTAAAGGAAAATTAACTTATTAACAAATGGACCTGTGAGTGTCTTTGGTTATGGTGCTGTTCTGCAGATTCGTCTGCAAAATTCCCTCTCCGGAGCTCTGACAGAGCGGGGAGGGTTCTCAGATGGCGAGTGTCTAAATAAAGGAAGCAGTCACGCAACTGAGCTTGGAAGAACAGTTCTTTCGCATGGTGCAATTTCTCCCGCCACCTGCTGACTTCTCTGCAGCCCTTGATGGGGGTAGCAGAGTTGCAGCCCAATCTGTTTCAATTAGGAGATTTTTAAAAGATATTTAAGCATCTAAAATTTGGTGCCTAGTGGGATTTTCAGAAGCATGTCAGTGCCTAACTCCCATTGATTACAATGTGAATTAGGCACGTAGGAGCTTTGAATGTCCCATTAGGTGCCTATCTGCATCTTTAGGACCTACATACCTTTAAAGATCTGGCCCATTTTCCTTCTCCATCCTTCATGTACCGATCAGGTGCAATAGTCATGCCATGCAGTGGATTGGGCACATGCGGCTGAAACCAAAATGAATCCTCTATGTACACAAATTGCAAAGGGGGAGAACAAATGGCTTCCTGGGCCTATAGTTAACAGTTCTGAACAGATGCCACAGCTAAAGCTATGCACGGTACAGAGGAAGCGCTGGTGATAGCTGGCATGCTCACTTTCTGAGAGGGAATATGAATGACTGTAACCTTACAGCAGCCTCCCTGGGGTCCACCAGTGCCTATGGGAACCAGTCTGAGAGGAGAATGGCTCAGAGGCAAAGTCAAAGTCATTGAAGAAAGAAGCCAGGAAATATATATATATATACACACATACATACACACACACACAGTCTGTCTGGGGGTAGTTCAGATCCCACTGCACTGAGCATGGTATAAATGTTTAGAGGCAAAGAGAGGGAGAATAGCGTCACGGAGACTGGCTCCCCTCTGTGGTCCAACGCTCGCTTACATCCAGCTTCAGAAGACACACCTCAATCCCTTTGAAAATGGGGATCCCCGTTCCCCCCTCCTGTAGCCCGGTAGTTCTGCTGTGAACAACATCACTGTAGTGATAGTTGCTAGGGCACTACTAAAAATAAACAAACAAGCAAGCCACCGTGTGGTGCTAACACATGGGAGATTCCCCTAAACTATGGCCTCCCCTCCCCGGTATAGGATTTATTCACTCCAGTTGTTGTAGGCCAATTACAATTAGAACAAATTAAACAAATGTTGCTGATCTAGCTGGCTCACCCTCCCACCCCCTGCTTCAGCAAGAGCTGCCTATCTAATTTCAAACCTCTAAGTGACCTGAATTATTCTGATCTCGAGCATGGTCTCCTGTCTGCAGAAACTAAACTGCTGTGTGTTCATTAATTCAAAGCTAAGGTAGGATTACCACAGCACTAGGTGACAACCTGGGATTAGGTGATTTTATTTCTAAAAGCTCCATCCTCTTAACAGAAAACAGAATGCAAACAATGATCCAGAAAGGTAGGGGAGGTAGGGTTTTGGGGCCAGGGAGCACGGCTCCACCAGCGTGAATGATAAGGGTATTTGCATTCCCTAAATGTCATGAGGACTACCCCATAGGAAACTAACCAGCTTTTCCTGCCTATGATGTTAAAGTTATGTTATCAGCTTTGTGGGAGGCATTGGAAACAGACAGAGGCAATGTTTTCTAAGGGAGGATTTGACATCACCACCATTGCTGTCTGCCCTTTGCTCAGTCTGGCTATAGAGACAAAGGAAGTCTCTCTCTGCTCATAAGGAAGCCTTGTTCTGTATGTACAACCCCAACACCTACACAGAGAGTCAAAAGCCAGAAGGTACCATCATGATCAACTAATCTGACCTCCTGCATTACACAAGATGGACATGGAGATGCAAACAGAAGCAATGCAGATAGCAGCGCCCCTCATACCAATATACTCTGGGATGCGAACAGAGAACCAAATGTATACATTTCATACAGACACCCCCAAAAAGCCAATGGACATGCTTTTACATGAATGCACAACACCAACATACACACACAAGAAACCAGTACATATGCACACACCAGGAGACACAGACAGACATACAGTACTTATGCAGATACGCTCAGAGACTCTCTCACACAGAATGTGACTACACACTCACATTTGGAT